AGCAACGTCACTGCTCCGCTGCCGCTGGTCACTTTGGTCTTGCCAAGACCGTTGAGCTCATCTCCCGGGACTTTCACTGGCCCCGGCTTCGTAAGTCTGTGCGTCGCTTCATTGCTAATTGTGAAGCGTGCCAGCGAGCCAAGCCGTCCCGTCACTCCCCTTATGGTTTACTTCACCCTCTCCCCGTTCCTTCCGAACGTTGGTGGGACCTGTCGATGGACTTCATCACGGATCTCCCACCTTCGAACGGCTTTGACTCCATCTTCGTGGTTAAGGACCGCCTGTCCAAACAAGCACACTTTGTGCCCACCACGAAGACGGTTACAGGCGAGCAAACCGCCGAACTCTTCCTCTCCCACATCTTCCGCTTGCATGGTTGTCCCCGGTCTATTGTTTCGGACCGAGGAACTCAGTTTACTTCGGCCTTCTGGAGGCGCTTCAATGAGCTTCTGAAGACGAAGATTTCCCTTTCTTCTGCCTTCCACCCCGAGACCGACGGTTCGACCGAGGTTCTCAACCAGGTCATCGAGCAGTATTTGCGTATCCATTGCAATTACCTGCAAGACGACTGGACCCTTCACCTTCCCCTTGCCGAGTTCACTTACAACAACTCGGAAAACACTTCCACTGGCATGACTCCCTTCTTTGCAGTCCATGGCCATCACCCCATTTTCGATCCCTCCATCATCCGTGATCCCTCTGTTGTGCCCTCTGCCGAAGAACGTGTCGACCGACTTCAGACCGTTCTCGAGGATCTCAAGGCCAACCTCCGGGTTGCCCAAGAGTCCTACACTGTGCAGGCCAACAAATCCCGTCTCCCCACTCCCGACATCTCCGTTGGCGACCTCGTTTTTCTTGATCGTCGCCACATCCGCACCCTTCGTCCCTCCAACAAGCTTGATCAGAAAAAGCTTGGCCCCTTTAAAGTTCTTCGCCGCATCAACCCCGTTGCCTTTGAACTTAAACTCCCTTCCACACTCAAAGTCCACCCCGTCTTTCATGTATCCCTCCTTGAACCCCGAACGAAGGACATTGTTCCCGAGTTCACCCAACCCGAACCACCTCCCATTCTTGTTGACTCCCAGGAAGAGTTTGAGGTCAAGTCTGTTCTCGATTCTCGGCTTTTCCGTGGTCGCTTACAGTACTTGGTTCAGTGGAAGGGCTATTCCGAGACTGACCGGTCTTGGGAGCCCGCTGCCAATGTTTCCCACGCCACTGATCTTGTTGCTGACTTCCACCTTCGCTATCCCTCAAAGCCGAAGGCGACGCCCGGAGTTCGTCGCTAAGGAAGGGGATGATGTTAGGGATAGCTCCTGCTTGTTTTCCACCTTGACTGCACACTTGGCTGTTCTTTTGCCTTTCTGTTTGTTTGTGTGTAGCTTTGCAGTTCCCCTCCGATTTTCCGCCTTTTGCCTGTCTTTTCCGCTCCTTCCGCACTTCCGTTTCCCCGCGCTGCTCCGCTTCCTTTGTCTTCTTCGCACGCGCCGGTTTTGTTTGTGCACGCGCCTTGCTGCGATTGGTTGCAATTCGGCTGCCGGTCATGTGTCCCCCCACCGGTGACTCATGACCTGCCTGACCGCCCCGATCTCTTGTTCATCTCGCATGCATTTGCCCCAACCTTATACTTGACCAATCCGCTTCTTGGACGTTGAGTCACATTGCTTCGCCTTTGCACGTTTCTCCTGCCAGGTGCTTCGCTTTTGCTTGCGCCTCTCTCGCTTTGGTTCTCTGCCTATCTCGGTGGTCCTTCTCGGCCCTCGTTCGTGCATCGCCCCCTTCGCCCCGCTCGATCGCCCACTTTTCCCTCCCTTGGCCGCCCTTCGCTGCCAAGTCCGGACTTGTCTATAAATAGCCTGACCCCCGCGATGTGTAGTCGAACCTCAGCGTTCAAAATAGGACTAAATAAAGTGCCTTCTACTTTATTCTCTGAGTGTTCCTCACGTCTCATTTCGAGACTAGTCTTATCTTGAACGGATCTTTGCTTCCCTCGCTCCCTCTCCGAGTCCACTTCGGACTTTACCCTTGCTTTCCCTGAGCTCACTTCGAGCTCACTTCTTCTTTTGCCGCTGAGTCCCCTTTGGACTCTAACATGTGGTGAGCTCGCACCTCAGAAAGAAGGGCAAGTTTGCTGCCAAGTGAGGGGTGCATCGCCACCGGTATACCAATGCGCGTTTGTGGCGTGTCGAGGTAGTTCAAACGCGTTTTGGTGTAACGACATATGGTGCAGTTTGCTGCCCCTACAGACGTCGTAAGAACCCTCGACATCGAACTCGTTCCCACAAGCTTCCTAGAAATCGAGATGCTGTTTCCCTGGGGGGGACCTTCACGTGGAATGCTTCCTATTGGCGCCTCTAATAGAAAACACACACACACCTCAACGATCATTGGCTGGAGAGGGCTATGCCTCCATCACCAACACGATACTCTATGTGCCTTCATGATCCCATCTATCCATCCTCTTCATGGTCCTATCTGTCCTATTCATGATCTCATAAGACTTTGATCAAAGACAATGGATAAGCGTTGGCACCATCGGGAGACTCGGAATGGATGGTGTGGTCACATACCGGTTCGGACCGACTCCTATACCCATTCTAAATGAAATAATTCATATATGGGTGAAATGAGTAGTGTGGCTTATGAGCATCGGACTGTTCCGGGTGTGTGGACATATCCATTCCGAGTCTCCCGATGGTGCCAACGCTTATCCATTCTCTTTGATCAAAGTCCTATTTAGTCATGAAGAAGATAGATAGGATCATGAAGAGGATAGATAGATGGGATCATGAAGGCACATAGAGCATCGTGTTGGTGATGGAGGTATAGCCCTCTCCAGCCAATGATCGTTGAGGTGTGTGTGTTTTCTATTAGAGGCGCCAATAGGAAGCATTCCACGTGAAGGTCCCCCCCAGGGAAACAGCATCTCGATTTCTAGGAAGCTTGTGGGAACGAGTTCGATGTCGAGGGTTCTTACGACGTCTGTAGGGGCAGCAAACTGCACCATATGTCGTTACACCAAAACGCGTTTTGAACTACCTAGACGCGACACAAACACGTATGCGACCCAACACTGCCACCTCTGAGACTGACATATTATTTCATTTTAAATATATGAAGCACTTCATATATGGGTATGGCTTATAAGCGCAGTGTGGCTTATGAGCGCAGTGTGGCTTATGAGCGCAGTGCGGCTTAGGAGCGCAGTGTGGCTTAGGAGCGCAGTGTGGCTTGTATGCGTAGTGTGGCTTATGAGCATCGGACTGTTCCGGGTGTGTGTGGACATATCCATTCCGAGTCTCCCGATGGTGCCAACGCTTATCCATTGTCTTTGATCAAAGTCTTATGAGATCATGAATAGGACAGATAGGACCATGAAGAGGATGGATAGATGGGATCATGAAGGCACATAGGGCATCGGGTTGGTGATGGAGGCATAGCCCTCTCCAGCCAATGATCGTTGAGGTGTGTGTGTGTTTTCTATTAGAGGCGCCAATAGGAAGCATTCCACGTGAAGGACCCCCCCCTGGGGAGCAGCACCTCTATTTCTAGGAAGCTTGTGGGAACGAGTTCGATGTCGAGGGTTCTTACGACGTCTGTAGGGGCAGTAAACTGCACCATATGTCGTTACACCAAAACGCGTTTTGAACTACCTAGACGCGACACAAACACGTATGCGACCCAACACTGCCACCTCTGAGACTGACATATTATTTCATTTTAAATATATGAAGCACTTCATATATGGGTATGGCTTATAAGCGCAGTGTGGCTTATGAGCGCAGTGTGGCTTATGAGCGCAGTGCGGCTTAGGAGCGCAGTGTGGCTTAGGAGCGCAGTGTGGCTTAGGAGCGCAGTGTGGCTTGTATGCGTAGTGTGGCTTATGAGCATCGGACTGTTCCGGGTGTGTGGACATATCCATTCCGAGTCTCCCGATGGTGCCAACGCTTATCCATTCTCTTTGATCAAAGTCCTATTTAGTCATGAAGAAGATAGATAGGATCATGAAGAGGATAGATAGATGGGATCATGAAGGCACATAGAGCATCGTGTTGGTGATGGAGGCATAGCCCTCTCCAGCCAATGATCGTTGAGGTGTGTGTGTTTTCTATTAGAGGCGCCAATAGGAAGCATTCCACGTGAAGGACCCCCCCCTGGGGAGCAGCACCTCTATTTCTAGGAAGCTTGTGGGAACGAGTTCGATGTCGAGGGTTCTTACGACGTCTGTAGGGGCAGTAAACTGCACCATATGTCGTTACACCAAAACGCGTTTTGAACTACCTAGACGCGACACAAACACGTATGCGACCCAACACTGCCACCTCTGAGACTGACATATTATTTCATTTTAAATATATGAAGCACTTCATATATGGGTATGGCTTATAAGCGCAGTGTGGCTTATGAGCGCAGTGTGGCTTATGAGCGCAGTGTGGCTTATGAGCGCAGTGCGGCTTAGGAGCGCAGTGTGGCTTGTATGCGTAGTGTGGCTTATGAGCATCGGACTGTTCCGGGTGTGTGTGGACATATCCATTCCGAGTCTCCCGATGGTGCCAACACTTATCCATTGTCTTTGATCAAAGTCTTATGAGATCATGAATAGGACAGATAGGACCATGAAGAGGATGGATAGATGGGATCATGAAGGCACATAGACCATCATGTTGATGATGGGGGTATAGAGAACCGGATAGGAGATAGATCGACCAATAGGAGTATGGTCGTGCAATGGTAGCACATTAGGCGAGCCAATGAGGATGCAGAATATGGACATAATAGCCCTCCCCAGCCAATGATCGTTGAGGTGTGTGTGTGTTTTCTATTAGAGGCGCCAATAGGAAGCCTTCCACGTGAGGACCCCCCCAGGGAAACAGCATCTCGATTTCTAGGAAGCTTTGGGAAACGGCGACGAGCTCGAGGGTTCTTACGACGTCTGTAAGGGCAGCAAACTGCACCGAGATGTTACACCATAACGCGTTTGAACTACCTAAACGCGATACAAACACGCATCGGTCGTGTGGTGGAGTTAAACTCCGCTCTAGGACTGAGACCCTCCCTTCCTCGCCTCAGATCGAGAAGACGTAGTTGTATAGTGTATCGTTGGGATTGCCTGTGGTCGACGCCTGTGTGCTCCTGCTGAGGCCGTTGTATCCGGGGATGCTGACTGACTGTGCTGGCGTCTGGGTGGATGCCTGGGTATAGAGCATCACCTTGGTACCGTTGGGTAGCTGCACGGCCCTCGTCGTGATGTGCACTTGGAATTTGCCGGTGCCGTAGAGGACGCCGGTCGCTGGCAGGCTGTAGAGACGCCGAGTCATGGTCGGATCCATGTAACCAGGCTGGAAGCTCTGTCCAGTCTCGGTGTTAACGACGGAGACGGAGTATACATGGGCTCTGATCTGGAAGATGGATATGGGGATGCCAGTGACGTCGATGGCGAGCGTCTGCAGCATCTGCTGGCCCTGGGGAGCTGCAACGCTCAGCATCTTCACCGTGGGGGGCGTCAGATGCTCTGCGATGGCGATGGACTTGAAGTAGACCAAATAGATCGTTACTGCCGTCAAGAGGCCAATGACCCAGGCGTAGTCTTCAATGGACATGCTCGATTTCTGCAATCTGACCATTTCCGCTGTGATTTTTTTTTCTCGACCTGCTCTCACTTCACTGCCCTCCCATCCGATGCCAGCACCCAGAGTCGACCCCCTCATTCTCAAGCCGGTGATCAAGCACCCCGATCGCCTCACCAAGTGGAGCCTTGTGCTGGCAGTGAATGCGCCCAGAGTCGATTGCCTCAGCTACTTCCACGAGCCCGTGTTGAACGAGAGCGCCTGCGATCGCATCCGGGACAAGCTCACTCGCTTCCTTCACGACTTCCTCAGTGTCCGCGAGAACGACGTGCGCATGAGAAACGCTGTCGACACGATTGAGGTAGTCGTCTCGTACGCGCACACCATTGATCGCAGCGATGGTGGCTCCATCGTCCACGACTACCTCCCCACCAAGGCTGGTATCAAGGCGTTCTGCGAGGCCTGGGGATCGCAGCGCAACATGGACGCAGCCCAGCAGGACAAGCTGAAGACGGCAATGCTGGCCCACCTCCAGTCGCTGCCGGACACGGTGCGCCTCACACCCAAGAGCCCACTCGCTGCACCCATCATTGATTTGTAACACTGGAGCGAGCGACTGCATTCAATACACCCACGGATCAGCACATGCTGATCCATCTCGTACATTGGCCAATCAAAAGCGCCTGACAGGTGGTGTAAGGCGTCCTCGAGCAGCTGAACCACTGGGCTTGCTCAGCGATCAGCGATGAGACGAGAGATGGGGGCGCTGATGTCGCCCCGGGCGTAGAGGTCGATCAGCTTGTGCTTGGTCTTTTCCTTCTCGATCTCTGCCTCTGCGATGCGCTGCTTGTACTTGAACTCCTCGATTCGCAGCTGCTCAGACGTCATCCCCAGCTCCTGCTCGACGCTCACAGCCGAGTGGAGCAGGAATTCTGCGATGGCCTTGGGATCGAACAACTCTGGTGGCATTCGAAAGAGCTCTGTCTGCATTTTGCTGCGACCAGAGGCACCCTTGAAGCTCGCACTGATGCGCATGCCGCCCCTGAAATGCTGGCTGAAATATCGCTCGACGTGCCTGTAGTGAGGTGTGGGGATGGCGCCGATGATTCTGACAGGACCCATCGACTGGGTGTGCTCCTGCATTCGCCTCTCGAGATTGTCAGTGCAGCCAAATTTGATGACGATCCAGTCACCAAGCGTTCCCACGAGCACGACGTAGACGCAGCTTCCCCCAAAGAGGGACTGATCTCGGCCGCCGCTGGGATTGACGTTCTTGAAGGGCTTGCTGGCTTCGTCAGGACTGAGAGGTGTGAACGGATCGCTTCTGCATTCCGAAGTGGTCGTGTTGGACCACGGAACGAGGCGCTGGTGGCTGCGTTCGTCATGGAGCGACACTGCCGGCTTTTGCGTGTCGATGACCTCTTCACACGAAACAGCGGTGCTCTCGGTGTCGTCGACCGAATGCGACGGGGTGAGCGAGTTCATGAGAGCGTCGATGTGCACGCTCTTGCCCGAGTTTCGCGGTGCGAATCGCTTCAACAGCGACTCGAGCAGATGGATGGGAGCGAAAACGAGCTCCCCCTTGGCGTGGTGGTAGCGAGCCTTGCTGCCACCCAGCATGGTATCGTACTTTTTGGAGATATTGCGCAGGAAGACCGAGTCGCATGGATAGAGCGCCTTGAAGCAATCTTGCACACAGACTTGGAATTCAGGGCCAGTGATGAGCTGGCAGTGGCGGTAGCGGATCGTATGACCCATGAAGCGCACGACGGCCGACATGGCGAGCGTCGTCTGTGATCTGACGATGCACAGTGCGAAATATTCACTTGGAACCAGCGCATCTCCACCATGGGTCGCCTGGAATGCACCAAGGTCGATCCAGCTCGTCCCTGTGCAATGAGTATCGGCGACGAATATGGTCATATTGTCCAGGCAGCCCGTCCCTGGACAATGAGCATTTGGGCAACACTTGACCAGCTAGTGTTGGTATGGTATTCGGCCCGGAAAGGAAGGAGAGGGCAACACTTGACCAGCTAGTGTTGGTATGGTATTCGGCCCGGATCGCCTGACAAGGAGCAACGTCAGCGGAAGCGAGGGCGAAGGGCAAAGAGCAGGATCCCCAACCAGGGCGGGGGAGGTGGATGCGACCACTTGGTGTCTCCCGACTCTGGCCAGCATCCCCAAGGGCGACAGCTGAATGACAAGTGGCTCGCCAGACGCTAGCATGACCAAGCAAAAACTCGTATCTCCGCCGTGGTCGCCGCCGGGTCCTGGGGTGCTGGCATGTCTCCGCTGGTCGCCATGGCTGCGCCACTCCGGCGGCGACTTCGGGGCGTGGTCTGGTCGACTGATGCTGTGGAAGTCGATTCCCACGCCCACCCCCTATAAATTCAGCGCCGGGGGTGATTCCTCTCATCCCACCACCACCTCGCACGTCTCTTTCCCTGCGAAAATGGCTCCCGTTGCCTTCAATCCCGATGTCCTTAAGCCTGCTGCTGGCCCTGGCAACAGCAAGTCCTACTCTCTCGTCCTGGCCTTCAACCATCTCCTCAACCCCTCTCTCGGTGAGCCCCTTGACGTTCAGTTGACTCGCGATGGTGCTGATCGCATCCGCCGCGATATCGAGGCTTTCGTCAAGCAGTATCGTGCAGCCCATCCCGAATGCTCCCGATCGGCTACGATGAATAACTGGCTTGACGAACCGAAGCACCCTCTCCTCGAACGTGCCGACGGTGAGAAGATCATCTACGACTTCAACGTCACCGCAACCGGCATCCGCACTTTCTTCGATGCCTGGGTGGTTTTCAACAACATGGGCACCGACGAAAGTCTCAGACTCAGAGCTGAGATGGACGACTACATCACGACCGTCGCAACGAGCCGACGCAGTGTTCGTTTGGACGCCGGAAGCCGCAAGCGTCGCCGCATCGACTCTGACCCGGCTTCTGCAGCCACGACTTCAGCTCAGGATGCTACCCCAGCTGCCCCGATCGCATCGGTTCCTGCTCCTGCCTTGGTCGATAGCCCAATCGATCCCACCAGGATCATGAGCGATCTGTTCAAATCCGTTCATGCCATGGACTTGATCAAAAACGAAGCTGTTCTCCGCATTATGGGGAAGGTCGAGGCCATTGCCGATACGTATATTGAATCGCGAGCTCTCAATAACCGCCAGAGCGATCTCGCCAACGACAACCAAGCCCAGCGCATTCGCGAACTCAAACTTTCTAACGATCGCCAGGAGAAGCTCAATGCTATCGAAATCGAGCAACGTGAAAAGGCCAATATTCGCCAGGAGAAGCTCAATGCTATCGAAATCGAGCAACGTGAAAAGGCCAATATTCGCCAGGAGAAGCTCGATGCGATCGAAATCGAGGAGCGTCGCTCCATGAGCCAGCTCAGGATCAGCACCCAAACCGAGCTGAGCGCCAAGGCTGTCGTCTCGATCAAATCCGCCATGGACTTCCAGGACAAAACCTTCCGCAGCGCCAGGGTGTGCACTGAAGCCATCAGCGCGATCACCGACGGGACCGAACCCCCCATTCTCGGCGACATCGCCATGAAGCATCGAAACTTTGTTGTCCAGCTGGCTTGCAACCAGTTACAGGGTGGGACCTTCGCTCCTCCGGATCTGATGGAGCAAGCCGCTGACTGTGTCGCCGATGTCGAGGCGTTCATGGAGACCCAGCAGCACGACCCCCAACCCGGCCCATCGACCGCAACCGCCGCCGTCGAGGTGAACAAGGCGCCCCGTCAGCCCCCCAACTTCAACCTCAGCCAGCGTTCCCACATCATCCTGGCTCAGCTCAAGAAGGCCGCCGCCGACCACATCAGAAACGAAAGCCTGCTCAAGGATTGTCAGTTCTTCACCATTTCTCAAATCCTGTCCAGACACAAGGAACATAAGAAGTACGGGCGTTTGCACGAGGCATTCAAAGCCCGGTGGGAACAGGAGGAACTCAAGCAAGACCAAGTTAACGAGTTTATCCCTCCGAATCGTCGAACCTACGAGGATACCCCATGGATGCGCGTTTCTAAGGCGATTATCCTCTGGCTGGCTCAGCACAAGGATGCCTGTGGCAACAAGATACAGCTTCCTCATACCTGGCAAAAGTTCGAAGAGAGTGATGTCATGAAAAAACCAGACGGTAGTCCTGTCATGGTTTACAAATTTGCAAAGCCTCTTGAAGGAATCTGCATCAGCTTGTGTGATTGCTTCGAGTACAAAGAGTTCCCGACTGGACCTGATGTTAAGCGATTCATTCTTGACAATCATTCTGACTTCACTCTTACTTTTTGTGATGGCAAGAAGCCCAAATAAACAGCGAAGTTTCGTATTTCACTTCATTCATGGTTCGCTTGTGTTGTGGGTCCGGAGATGGACTCTGAGAGTGACGGGTCTAGCAGGATCGTGTGAATTCGCACAGGAATTGTGAAGCCATCAGCTATCTCATATCGCCTTCGCCAAGATGTGAAAGGCCCACCAAGAGACTTGAACGATCACTCTGCATATAGGTTTGTTTCGAACCCAAATCATTTTCCTAATTTGTACCCAGACCATCCCCTCGGTTATAGGTTTGTTTTGAACCCAAATCGACTTCCTAATTTATACCCAGATCATCCACTCCGTTATAGGTTTCCTTTGAACCCAAATCGACTTCCTAATTTGTATCCAGACCAGAATACAGTATACTGTCCCTTTATTCGACCCATCAATACAATAGACAGAATGTACGTTGTGTTATTGACTGGAGAGTTCGCGGGCATATGCCTCTCGGAGGCTCGCTGCTGCGTTTCCTCCTAAGGATGCCAAAAACTTCTTGTGTTGGTGGAAAATCAAATAGGGAGAATCAAAATCACGAGCCCGGTGGTGAGCAGCGTGATAACTACGTGAAATTTCCTCCAAGGACAAGTCGGACGATAGAATCCCGATATAAAAGATGTCCTGAGCATCTTTCAAATAGCAGGAATCGTCAGTCTTGCTTTTTCTGACGATATCCACATAGCCCATGGCATCGACAAATGGCTGAGGCTTCTTCACCCCTGAGGTGAACTTGATGTATATGCGGGGAGTTTCCTTGAAGATCGTCTTCAATTTGTTGCGCGCGAATGTCAACTTGGTGGTCTTGGTTTTGCTATCATCCCATGACCACACAAACTTATCATAGAGACACGCAATGATACCCTGAGCCTGGAGGAGCACACGATGATCGGGTAGATGGACGGCAGGAACGAAGCCGATGGGGGTGTTCACTCGGACAATGGCCGTATTCTTCATGACCAGCCTGGGATAGATGATCGTGCTGTTGCTGTGCTTGAATTCCTCGCGATAGGGATACACGCGTTGCTTTGGGTGAAGTGTATCAACATGAGGAACATCGGGGAACGGCACGATCATGTTGTATCGGTAGTTGTCCGATGCTGGTGTCGTTACCGGGTCCGGAAGGCCTGTGGGGATTGCATCGGCGTTCTCAGGCATATCCTCTGAGGCGATAATGGGATCATCACCGTGAACATCGGTATTCAACGGCTCTGACACACCAGAGTGGCCGTGGGGACTGGTCGGGACGGCGGCTGCGACGGATTCGGTATCTTCAGCACTTTTCTCGACAGACACCGCTGGAACGTCGGCTGGCATGGTAATCGTGGGACCTGCAGAGTTGTCAAACACCATGACACCCTCACCGGGCAGCGGCTGGCGGCGCTTGGGAGCTCGCTGGCGGGGCTGTTTCCCAGCGGGATCGGTAGGCAAGGATCGCTTCTTGGTGCTGGTGGCGCGAGGCATGGTGATCGAGACCGAAAAGGTTATCGGGCGAAGCAGATCGATCGTGTCCGCGAATTTATGGGCGGGTCGAGCTGGTCGCTGATGGTCTGGCATGCAGCAGACGGGACGTGAGTTCCCCGATAGCGCGGAGGTGAGTGCGAAGGGCAAAGAGCAGGACCCCAACCAGGGCGGGGTGGAGCGGCTGCGATCACACGGTATCTCCCGACCTTGACTCCGCATCCCCAAGGGCGACAACTGAATGGCAAGTGGCTCGCCAGACGCTGGCATGACCAAGCAAAAACTCGTATCTCCGCCGTGGGTGTCGCATGGGCTTGGGGTGCTGGCATGTCTCCGCTGGTCGCCATGGCTGCGCCACTCCGGCGGCGACTTCGGGGCGTGGTCTGGTCGACGGATGCGGTGGAAGTCGATTCCCACACCCCCCTATAAATTCAGCGCCGGGGGTGATTCCTCTCATCCCACCACCACCTCGCACGTCCCTTTCCCTGCGAAAATGGCTCCCGCTGCGTATGACCCGGATATCCTCCGACCCACCACCGGTCACGACAATCCTAAGAGGTGCTATTCCCTCGTTCTTGGCGTCAATGCTCCCCATCCTCACCTCAGCCACTTCCACGAGGATGATATTCGCCACAACGGCGCTGCTGATCGCATTCGCAGCAAATTGATGGAGTTTGTACGTGAGTACACCACCCATCCAAATTGCCCCCATGCAGCAACCTTGTTCAGCGCAACGGTCAGCCCGAAGCTCTTGGATCGCCCCGGAGGAGCCCCGATCATCTACGACTACACTATTGGTCTTTCTGGGCTGCGAGCCTTCTGCCACGCCTGGTGCATCCACAATGATCTCCAGAGCGACGCCGCCGACGAGATCAAGGATGCCATGATGGCGCATCTCTTGGATCTGAAGAACACCAAGCAAAATCGCATCCGTCTGACTCCCGAGTCACGTAAGCGCCGCCGTATCGATCCCGGTAGCGTCCCCCAGGCCGATCCAACCCCCGCAAACCAACCAACGGCTCAGGTCTCCAATGTCGAGCAAACCGCTTTGGCCGTCGCTCCGGCTTTCGACATTGCCGCGATGACGAACGCATTCAAGGTGGTCAATGAACACAGCAGCAAACCTGTTAGCAACGCACAGGTGATCAATACCTACATGGCGATGGCCTCTGTCCTCCCGCCTGATGTCAGAAATCATGTCGGAAACATGATGAACACCATGCTCCAAATGGAGCATATCAAGGCTCAGGTCGATGCCGGCGAGGAGCAATATCGCCAGCGTGTCAGACAGCGCATGCTCGACAGGGAGGAGCAAGAAGAGGCCTCCACAAGGGCTGAGGATCAGCAAATACGCCAGAAGATGTTCGAGTGTGAGATGAGCCTCGTCGACAACTTCCAACTCCTGCAAGAGAAATTTGGGACCTGTATCAATCTCCTCGAGGACGCCGAGAACACCATTCGCACGAACCATACCATGAACGCCAGTGACAAAAATGCACTCAGGGTCGTCTTCACGCAGAACAGGCATATCATGGATCAAGGGCGACACATGATCAACGCCAAGCAATATATCGTCCCACCCTTCCTCCGTCCACAGTTGGACAGATGCTTGGCCGATTTTGCGGTCTATCAGCAGCAACACAAGCATCCCGCCGCTATCGCAGCCATCGAGGGTGCTCCAGTGGCCTCATCCTCATCCAGCCCTCCAGCCGTCATCGCCATGCGCCATGACATCAACTCGGTCAGAGCGATTGAGCCATTTGCTGATTTGGCTAATAGCCAATGTCGCGTTGAAGATGAGCTCAAAGCATCCGACAAGAGTTCGGATGAATTGAGGGCTCTCAGTGCCACCCTTCCCAAGGAGACCGACCTCAGGACCATTCGCGAGTTCCTCAGCTCCGACTACGTCTTGAAGGGTAAATACGATAAGCGCAATATCGACGAGTCATCTAAGAAAAGCACTGACCTTGATCCATACAAGAGAGCCGAGCGCATTCTCAAGCACTGGTTCAGCAACCACGCCGACCATAGAATCCGCCACCGAATTCGCTTTCCAAATGCATGGATGGCAACGAATCTCACCAGGGAGTACACCTCGAAACTCGGTGTGTCCAAGCGTTGGTACAACTGCCTTGGATTCTATACTGAGCTGAGACCCTACATCCTCTTTATCCTAGCTCGCTATGCTGACGGTGGCTTTGAGATGGATCACTCCAAGTTCATCAAAGAGCATATCGTCGATTTCGAATTAAATTTTGCATATGCCAGTGAGTAGCCGATAGCTGATGTAAGTCAGCTCGAGAGAGTACATTCAATAAAGAGCAATATTCATACATAGCCACGTCGATCGCTGATCGACATGGTCCATGCGAGTAGAGGGATGTATGCCATATATGGACTCAAACAGAGACCGTCTGAGTAGAGGGATGTATGCCATATATGGACTCAAACAGAGACCGTCTGAGTAGAGGGGTGTATGCCATATATGGACTCAAACAGAGACCGTCTGAGTAGAGGGGTGTATGCCATATATGGACTCAAACAGAGACCGTCTGAGTAGAGGGGTGTATGCCATATATGGACTCAAACAGAGACCGTCTGAGTAGAGGGGTGTATGCCATATATGGACTCAAACAGAGACCGTCTGAGTAGAGGGGATGTATGCCATATATGGACTCAAACAGAGACCGTCTGAGTAGAGGGATGTATGCCATATATGGACTCAAACAGAGACCGTCTGAGTAGAGGGGTGTATGCCATATATGGACTCAAACAGAGACCGTCTGAGTAGAGGGGTGTATGCCATATATGGACTCAAACAGAGACCGTCTGAGTAGAGGGATGGATGCCAAATATGGACTCAAACAGAGTCTGTTTGGGTTCATGTTTATTGCTTATCTTTAAATTCATCCAAGGCCTCAGTATAGTTGGTTTCGCCATTCACACCGCGCTCTGCTTCAAAGTGCATTTGCTGGAAATGAATGAGATAAGGCGAATCCATACCCTCTGCGCGCGCATGACGTCGGGCAATCGCATTTACGATCCCAAGCAAAGTCTGGTCAGCAGACATAAGGCTATTGTATGCGATCGTCTGGACTCGATACACGAAATCCGTAAAGTCCGATTTTCCACGCTTGATCATTTCACCAAGTCCATCGCGATCGAAATAAACAGAGTTTGCATGAGCTCCTATGAATTTGATGTAAATTCGAGGGATGGATCGGAAAAGTCCTCGGAGCTTGGTCCGAGCCCAATTGCGTCTTGCGGCGATAAGATGATCATCGGATGCAGTGAATCCAACAATATCCAATTTGTAGAGCTTCAAAATCGCGTATTGTGCGTCGACAAGGATGCGACCATCTTCGAGCTGGACGGCGGTCAGAAACCCAAGCAGATGGTTGATCCGGATGCGATCATTTGGGTCGAGGACGAGACGATTGTACCGGTGTCCATCACGAACAAATTCATCCCGGTAGGGAGTAGTCGGTTGACGAGGACCCGTTCGAGACACATATGGTACATCTGGGAATGGCTCGACGGTAAAATAAGGATTCGATTCCTTGGTGCGAGCGGCTTCGGGTACGGGATTCGGGACCGACTGATCCTCTTCGACCTGCCCAGGATTCTGAGAGGGGGGTGTATCGTCGAATACCATGATACCCTCACCTGGCAGCTGCTGACGGCGCCTGGGAGCACGCTTGCGGGGCTGCTTGTCAGTGGCTTCAGTGGGCGAGGACTGCTTCTTGGCTGCACGAGGCATTGCGATGGAGATCAAAGACGGCTAACGAGCTAAGGCAGTCGATCTAGTCGATGAATATATAGGGATGGTCGGTCGAAGATGGCCTGGCAGGCAGCATGATGCTGACGGGGCGTGGGCTCCCCGATAGCGCGGGGTGAGTGCGAAGGGCAAAGAGCAGGATCCCCAGCCAGAGCGGGGAAGCGACCGTGACAACTCAGTGTCTCCCGACTTTGGTCAGCGTCCCCAAGGGCGACGGTTGAATGGCAAGTGTCTCGCCAGACGCTTGTCTGACCAAGCAAAAACTCGTATCTCCACCATGGGCGCTGCAGGGTGCCTGCCAGGACGAGGGCGACGGCATGCTCCGCTGATCACCACGGCTGCGCCACTCCGGCGGCGATTTCGGGGGGGGGGTGGTCTTGACACCGAGTCTTCGCTTCCTCGAGGGAGCATACTTTCCCTCCACCAGCAGCAGATCGCCCCTCCCCCAACACGCCGCATTCAAAACAAAATGACCCACAATATCCGCTTCGGGGACACCCAAGATCGCCACACCAGCGTCGCCAGTGGTTCTACCACTCCCGGTACTCAATCGGCCATTGATGATGCCAATATCCAAAGCAGTATCGCAGCAATAGAGGAGAATCTACCAGAGTTCTTCAGGGTGTACAATTCAAAAGTAGAGACCGGCAGCGCGCACACGGCCTTGTGCATGGTCGACGGAATGCAGAAGTTGTTTGGAAAAGACGCATGGGCCTTGATCATGCAGCGCATGAATAACGTAACCGCTCGCGATCCTCCCGAATACTGATTGTGGCTGTTAGCGCGATGTATTCATGGTTTGCACTGAATAAAGTCTAAATATTCGACTGCACACATTGAGGCCAGCAACTCCGCCCGAGATTGACCCCCCAAGGAACGAGTCCGACCAAATCCCATTTGTCAGCCGCTGCCAGGACCTGCTGGGGTGGCCCTATAAGTTGAGCAGATGTCTCCGTTGGCCGTGTTGGTGTACGCCTCCAACCCCAGCATCTTCTTACTTGCAAATATGAGCCAACCTCCCGATTCCTTCATTGAGATCGACCCAGTTTCCTTTTTGCAAAGATTGGCCGCTGTAAGGAACATAGCAGCTCTTCGCGGGAACCAGCCGATTGTCACCGTACTTGGAATAATCGAAGACGATTACAAATACCGAGTCGAAACCCAAGAATTATTCATCCGAGAGGATTTGGTGGCTATCGAACGCGACGATAGGTTGATCCATATTCACACAAGGTCGAAAGATCACTTGCTCAATCGATATTATGCCGATATCGAGAGAAGTAAGCCCATCATTGCAGAATCGAGGCGTCTTGCTGAAATGGCGAGAAAATTTCGCCTCGACCTAACGATCGGCAGCAGCTCTGGCGCCCAAACCCCGAATGCCGACGCTAGGACTTCGGGTCCATCGCAGCCACAAGAAGAGAACCCACGCGATCGATCCAGTGCATCTCGAAGGGTACAATCCAGGACTCGAGGTTCTCGCACACCAAGCGTTGCCGACTACTTCAGACGAGTCGAAGTTCCCAGGGTTGCTCCGGTCGCCGTGAGGCAGGTTGCCCTTCCAGATGAAGACAGGCTCGCTGGGTTTTTCAAGGATTACATCAAGAACGTCCAGAACGGGTGCCATTCCACAGCAGATGTGATGTTGTCTGAGATGAGAGCATTGTATGGTGCAGAGGCTTGGGAGATGATCATGCAACGTGTGGTTGCTGGTCTTGTCGGAGCTCCACCAGAATATCAGCCCTGATTACGTTTGTTGCTCTTGTAGACTCAGGGCCTTTTCATTTTGTATTTTGAGTGACGTATATTGAATAAAAAACTTCAGTTCAACCCATCCATCACACGCCCACCGCCAGCCCCTTGACAGTGCTCCAGAACATCTCCAGCCTCGGGCGCACTCGCTCAAACCACGCTCTCTCCCGCTTGATCAGGGTGGCCTCGTGCTTGTGGAGGCAAAAGTAGACTCTGGTGTGGACTGGGAAGTCGCTGGCCCAGACGTTAAAGTCATCCACGGTGACAACCCGGGGCGGTGCATTGAGCGTCGCTCCTTCGCCCTTGTCGATCAGGATGCCGAATCGGTTGGGGCCGGCAGGGTCTTGTGCGGCCGCATCGCGCTGCCAGTGGACCGGGCTGTAGTATTCGTGAAAGTCGCAGTCGAAAAAGACACACTCGTCGACATCGCAGACCTCCATCTGGATCTGCATCTGGATCCAGTAGTGGAACGGCGGGATCGCCGAGACCTCGCGGCGGTACGGGTTCTTGATCTCGACGAGCCTCCCGTCCTCGGTGAAACCGTCGGGGCTGGCGGCCAGGAACGGGATGGAGGCATGCTTGATGAGGCCGTACTCGTGGACGGGGCTGCCGGCCATCTGCCCAAAGATGCGCTGGGACTCGGGCTCGTAGCGCTCGCCGTACTGTGTGGCGACATTGCCAAAGAACGTTCGCTCGATCTGGCCCGACTTTTCATTGAGGAGCTTGTCGTAGCTGCTGTATGCGTTGGCACACTTGCCGGTCGACTCGATATCGGCACTGGGGAACTGACTGCGGTACTCGTGCAGCGTATCGTCGTCAAGCACAAGCACCGTGGCAATATCCGAGGCAGTGATGCACTCCTTGCGGGCATTCAGCCACTCCTCGCTCTTCTGGGCCGCCTTGACCTCACGCTTGCTAAACTCTGGCTCGACGAACATGGTAGGCAGCTATATCTTTATTCAGAATCGTTTTCCTTACTGCTTTTTCATGTGAGCCCCAATGTGCTCCAGCAGCTCACTCTTGGACTTGGAGCCCTTGAGGTTGATCTTGTGGGTGCGGGCAAAGTCACGCAACTTGACCAGTGTCCATTTGGCCATCTCTTCATCGGCGATAACGACCGCCATTTCAGGCTCGGCTTCTTGCTGGGGTTGCTGCGGCTCCTCGGGCTTGTCCACTTCCATGTCCATTTCCATGTCCATGTCCCTGGGCTCATCCTGCTGCACCTGAATCTGAATCGGAGGCTCGATGGCTGGCGCAACAGAGACGATGGGCGGCGCATTCTTGACGGCCGACCGCAGGATCCTGAAGAGACCGAGGCTGGGGGTGGTGTTGGTTTCGCCGACGACATAAACCTGATCCGCGGCGGGCTGGTAGAGTGCCACGCCCAGACTGGATACGGTCGAGTGTGTGGATCGGTGGACACTCAGACCACCGGTCGCATCGTTGTAAATGTAGATATCCAGGGCGACCTTCTTGGCGACATCGGCCCAGTTGGTGTTGGGCCCGTCGATCACCATCGGGGACTCTGTGAGCAAGATTCCCGAGAGCGTGTCGTTAAAGTCGGCGACGATCTTGCGCATCTTGGGTTGCTTGCCAAAGACCAGGTGTACCGAGAGCAAAGCGACGGCCTTGGCTGGAACAGGGACCCAGGCGGCATCCTCGGCGGTGCTTCTGCGGCGAAAGACATAGACGAGACAGGCACGGGCAAACTCGCGCTCGTCGTCGCCCATGCATTCGTATTGCTTGCGGTACTTGACGAGCCAGCGATCATGGTCGATGATGCTGTGGGCATGCTCGAGCTGGAAGCCCTTGTCGAGCATGGCGGTGACGGCCACGTCCTGGTAGATCAAGGGAAATGTGCCGTATGGCCCGGTGCACTGGAGGGACACACGGGCCTCCCTGAGGACATCGTAATCCTCATCGTCGCCGTGGCCGCCGTTGACGAGCTTGTACTTGGTCGGGAAGCGCTTGCACAGATCAAGGGTGCGCTGGGCATCCGTCAAAACCATGAGTCTGACGTACGAGTCGGACGGAGTGACTTGGTCGGGGCATCGGTAACCTTTGCCGGGCTCGGATGCATGTCCAGTGGCGATATGGTCGCGGATGATGCAGTCGAGATACGTCGGCTCGTTGCTGGCGTGTGGTTTGCCCGGACCCGCATCGGAACAGAGCTCCTCGACGAGATCGATCTTCTCCTGCAGGCAGCGCTTGACAGTCGATGGCCACGTCGATGTAATTGGGCTTGATCTTGTCCTTGCGCACCTTGTAGACGATCCACCTGGAGACGGTGGTGTCAAAGTACGCCTCCACGATATCAGCCGTTGACGACGGGGACAGCGGTATTCGACCGGCTCGTTCCAGGTCAAGGAGCGTGTCGTTGCCGTTGACGTAGAGGACGCCAGTTGCCAAAGAGAAAGTCGATGGTAGGGCGGGGTTTGTACTTGTAGGTGTGCTTGGATGAGGTGTCGGGCGGATAGGGTTGGTTGGCATCGAGGATGATGTAGCCAGTCCTGGGAGCCGTGGAGTCCGCGCTGGAGCCGGTGGTAGATCTGGGCCTTGCCGCGGTAGTACTCTTTCATGATGATACCGAGGTGTTGGAACTGGCGCAAGGCATGGGCGGCGGTCGAGAGCCGCTGGAAGAGTCCGTGTTGTTTCGAGTCTCGCAGGTCATCGCGCTTGAAGAAGAGGACGTCAAAGACATGGACCCGGTGTTCGATCGAGGCGGGCCAGGGCTTTGTGGTCGTCATGAGCTCGCAATCCAAGAGAGTGCCGCGGAGGTCGGGGAGGGCGGCGGAACGAGGCACATCGTTCAAGTTGAGGAGGCGGGTGAAGCTCAAGTCTCTACCGATCATCCAGACGTCGCGATCGGTAAAGAAGAGGAGTACACGCACACCGTCGAGCTTGTCGGTGATGACGATCTCGGAGCCACGGCGAGCCAGAAGGGCCTCCAAGTACTCACGGTGGAGCGAGTAAGCCTGGTTGCCGATGAAGGTGGTGGAGCGGCGATCGACTTCGGTGTCGGGAAGCGCATGGACCAGCTGGTTGTAGCTGGCGATGCCTCGACGGATCTCACCGTAGCAGCAGACGGCCGCCGTGTTCTGGATGATCTCAAAGATATACCAGACACGGCCGAGGACCTCGCTGACAAAGTCGGCCTTGGAGCGCATCTGGTTGATCAGATGAGGGTCGACTTCGAGCTCGATCTCGAAGGATTGCTCGTTGACGACGGAGAGCTCGACTTTGCACCAGTTTCTGTAACGTCCACTACTGGGACGTTGGGGCAAGACGGGGAGGGAGGGGGTACAAGACAAGACAGGACGGGGCAGAACAGGGCGGTGCTAGGCTACTCTAGCGGACGGGTGAGCTCGGGGAGCACTTACGTTTATTCACGATAAAACCGAACTCCAGACAAACGGGGGGAACGGGGGCAACCCGCAGGTATACCCTGCGGTGGCCTGCCTGCGGTGCGTGAAAACGCAAAGCGCAGCACAGGTCACGACCCACTGCGCCGCGCAGTACGCGCAGTACGCGCAGCACAGCGTCGGAGATACCATCTCCTACACTCCCACACTTAAGAAGGCTTCCTGCGAGGAGCCCTGCGTGTGCTCTTTATTTGGGGCTCCTCGAGGTGTTTACCGTATTTACTCAGCTGTATGTCCCAGTCGTCTTGGCTGGTCGAGGCGTATGTCCTCAGGTATTGCTCGAGGGTGCGGATCGTCCGCTCGGACTGTCCATCCGTTTGTTGGTGGTGCGAGGTTGACATGTTCAGCTTGGTGCCGAGATGGTCGAACAGACTTGTCCAAAACAAGGAGGTGAATCGGGGGTCTCGATCACTGACGATGGACTTTGGGAGGCCGTGGTGCTTGAACACATGCTTGAAGAACAGCAGTGCAAGGTCAGGCGCGGAGCATGTCGTCTGGCACGGCACAAAGTGTGCCATCTTGCTGAACCTGTCGACAAAGACAGCGATTGCATCGTGGTCCAACTTGGTCGTCGGTAGATGCGTGATGAGATCCATGGACATGCTGGTCCAGGGGCGGTCGGGAACAGGCAGGGGTTGCAGCAATCCTTGCTCTCGGGTCGTGCGTGACTTGACCATCTTGCAGGTATGGCAGGACTCGATGTACTTCTCGACGGTGCGCTTCATTCCAGGCCAGTATGCGACTTTGGCCAGTCGGTCGTATGTCTTCTCGACTCCAAAGTGTCCAGCGAGGGGCGAGTCGTGGACCTCTTGGAGCAACTTGGTCTTCAACGACGGAATGTCCGGCACACAGACACGGCTGTCCTTCTTCAGGAGGAGCAGGCCATCACGCACTGTGTACTCGGATGATTCGTCGTCCTTGGGGAGCTTAGACACCTTTCGGAACAGTTCTCCGAACTGTTTGTCGTTGGCGATGTTGTCTCGGACAACATCCAGCATCGTGTTGTCGACACTGACAGTCGACTCGTACAGTGACGCCAATTGGTAGTCGGGGCGTCGGGACAGTGCGTCAGGCACCACATTGAGTTTGCCTTTCTGGTATACAACCTCGTAGTTGTACTCGGCGAGGAACTCCATCCATCGCGCTTGGCGTCGGCTCAGGTTCTTCTTGGTGTCGAGGTAACGCAGTGACTGGTGGTCCGTCACAATCTTGAAGGGCTTGGCGGTACCGTGGAGGTACACTCGGAACTTCTGCAGCGCGTAGATGATCGCAAGCTGCTCCTTCTCGTGCACGGGATAGTTGATCTCGTGTTGGGACAGTTTGCGCGACTCGAAGGCAACGGGCCTTCCCTCCTGCATCAAAACAGCTCCCACCGCAAAGTCGGAGGCGTCGGTGTGCACGGAGACATCCGTGTTCGGGTCGAACACAGCGAGGACAGGAGCGTTCGTCAAGGCGTGCTTGAGGGTCTCGAACGCTTGGCGTTGTGGGTGGTCCCACACGAAGGGGCACTCTTTGCGGAGTAGGTCTGTGAGTGGACCGGCAGTGCGCGCCAGATCGGGGATGAATCGGCGGTAGTAGTTGACGAGACCGAGAAACGACTGCACGTCAGAGACGCATGCGAGCGGCGGCCACTCGACCACAGACTTGACCTTGGCGGGGTCGACTTCGATTCCTCTTCCTGAGACAACGTGTCCCAGGAACGGGACTTGATTCTTGAAGAACTCACACTTGGACAGTTTGGCATACAACTTGTGCTCGCGTAGCTTGGCCAGCACGCGGGCGACATGACCTTCATGGGTCGCTTCATCCTTGCTGTACACAAGGATATCATCCAGGTACACGATGACAGAGTTGTCGAGCTCTTGGCGGAACACATCGTTCATCAGCTGCATGAACGTGGCAGGTGCGTTCGTCAATCCGAACGGCAGCACTAGGAACTCGTACAGTCCGTAGCGAGTCCTGAAGGCGGTCTTGTGGACATCATCCTCGTGGATGCGGATCTGATGGTAGCCTGAGCGGAGGTCTATCTTGCTAAAGACCTTTGCTCCACTCAGACGATCCATCAACTCGTCGATCCTGGGCAACGGGTAGGTGTTCTTGATGGTCTGTTTGTTTAGTGCGCGATAGTCGACGCACATCCTGAGATCACCTTCTTTCTTCTTGACAAAGAGCACTGGTGCACCATACGGTGACTGGCTCGGGCGGATGAACCCATGGGCGAGGAGGTCATCCAACTGGCGCTTGAGTTCGTCCATCTCCGTCAGCGACAGTTGGTACGTCGGTCTTGACGGAGGCGACGAGCCTGGTTCGATGTCGATGCGATGATCGACGGTGCGTTGGGGTGGCAGGCATTGTGGCAACTGGTCGGGGAATACGTCCTTGTACTCGTCGAGCAGCTTGGTCACCACAGGCGGGGGACCGGGACCGGCTTGGTCGGTGTCGTCGACCTCACGCACGACACAGAGGAACGACGTGTCCTTCTTGATCAGCCTCTTGAATTGCATGGCTGAGAGGAGAGGTGGCATGTTGGGTGAGGCCATGCCCTGCAGGACAATGTCAGGGCCAACACGGACAGTGCGGCCTTTCCAGTCGACGACTGGAGTCGGCTCGGCACGAGCAAGCCAGCTCATGCCGAGGATGGCATCGAACTTGGTGTCGATCACTTGGAACAACAGGACAGGATGGTACTTGGGATGGAGGGCCACTCGCAGGACCACTTGGTGTGTGCACTGCTGCACACGATCGTCTGCAAGCGCCACACTCATCGGCGACTTCTTCTTGGTTGCATGTATGTTGAGCTCCTGGAGCAAGCGTCTGCTGACAAAGTTGCAGCTTGCTCCAGAGTCCACCATCATTCGGACGGTGTGACCTTGGACGGTGGCAGGGAGGTACAGCAGGGACTCTTCATGGTCCTCCTGCACAGCCTCCTGCACCATGACTTGACTTGGGGGAACGGGCGACACTTGGTCTTGGTTGGCTTCATCACGGCCACTCGGACATTTTGGATAGGGTTCGGCCATTGCGGGGGCCTGCGGCGTCAGCACGCCATTGCACACGACGTCCACGGCTTGCGGACACATGTCGGAAGCATCCGACACACACGACTTGACAGGGGTGAGGGCACAGGCGGTCCTGTCCCTCAAGGGTTCTTGATTTTCTTTTTTGTTTTGGTTTTCAATTTTGGTTTTCTCTTCACGTTCGTGGAGAGGCAGGCGGCTTGCGCCACCATGCACCTCTCGCACGACGCACAACACTTGGTTTGTTTCTCCTTCGGGGGAGGGGGCGAGGTGAACTTCCTCTGGAGACGCGTGGACTGCATTGAGCAATCCACGGCGTTGGTCTCCTACTAGGGCTCCAGAGCCACCTAGTAGGGTCGGCCGTTTCCCGACTTCATGGGGCACTCCTTGGCCTGGTGTCCCGGTCGGTGACAGAAGAAGCAGGAACCATGGCGGAGGTCCTCCTGCTTCTGTCTGTCCTTGGGGGAGACAGTGGCAGCTTGCTGGAACCGGGAGCGGGGAGGGCCACGAGCCTCCATGGCGTTGACGTCAACGTCCATGGGCTCAGGCATGGGTCTTGCGGGCGGGGCCGGGCGAGGCGGACGGGCTGGGACGTGATGAGACCGATGGCCGCCTGCCAGCTGCGGGTAGAACTGGCGGCCATGGTACTGGACGTTGTCGAGGTTCTCGGCAACGTCCATCATCACGTCCAGGGACTTGCGGGCATCAGGGTTGCTGGCGATGTACTCTCTGATCTTGGGCTTGAGGCCCTTCTGGAAGAGGTACATCGCATCAGCAGAGCCCAGCTCCTCAATCTGGGAGGAGAGGTCTTCAAACTCCTCGATGTAGCGGGTCACAGAACCACGCTGCACGAGAGAGTATAGCTTGTCACGGGCAATGAGTTCAGCATTGGGGCTGCCGAAGCGGCGACGGAGGCGGTCCTTGAAGTCGTCAAACACACCTTCGCTCTGCTCGTCGAACCCTTGGCGGCGGTACCAACGGTACGCCTGGTCCTTTAAGCAGAGCTTGGCGGCGACGATGTGGTGGGTGGGGGCGACTTGGGCAGCATCGAGGTAGTCCTCGAGTTGCTGCAGCCAGTCCTCCACCGAGGAGGAGCGGCTCTTCCCAGTAAACACTGGGGCACGGAAGGTCTTGAGGAAGGCTTCCGGAAGTGGGCGGGGGTTGCTCATGGCAGGGGCAGGCTCCAGGGACAGAGAGGAGAGTCGGTCGGCAAGAGAGGCGGGATCCAGCTTGAGGATCTAGAAAGAGGACAAACAGGACGAAAACAAGACGAGGATTTCCGATGCTACCATGTAACGTCCACTACTGGGACGTTGGGGCAAGACGGGGAGGGAGGGGGTACAAGACAAGACAGGACGGGGCAGAACAGGGCGGTGCTAGGCTACTCTAGCGGACGGGTGAGCTCGGGGAGCACTTACGTTTATTCACGATAAAACCGAACTCCAGACAAACGGGGGGAACGGGGGCAACCCGCAGGTATACCCTGCGGTGGCCTGCCTGCGGTGCGTGAAAACGCAAAGCGCAGCACAGGTCACGACCCACTGCGCCGCGCAGTACGCGCAGTACGCGCAGCACAGCGTCGGAGATACCATCTCCTACAGTTTCCGCCGAGGAGGTAGGTGTGGACGACCTTGTCGCGGGTGAAATCGATCTGGTTGGCTTGGATCGGGAAGGGGGCGTTGTTGACGACTTGCTCGTCGGAGAGTACTGCCTTGACGGCGAGCCCGTGGATCAACTTGAAGGAAACCTGGCGCTTGTGGATCACGACGAGCGGCAAGTACTCGTCGCCGCAGACGGCGAACCGATAGCGCAGGTGGTTCTTGGTGTAGCGATCGTTAAAAACGTCGGTCCGATGGAAGTAATCGGCCAGACGTTCCTGGGCCCGGAGGAAGATGTGCCGACGCACACCGGTCTCAACGCGATGATCGCTTTCCCCAGAGGCGTGGGCTCTGCAGAGCGGATCGCCAAAGCGGAATTCGAGCTCGTAGTTGATGCTGAGACCGGTGCGCTTCGCATGGGCAATGTGATCGTAGCAGGAGCTGATGTAATTGCGGAAATCGTCCTTGATCCCACTGATCTGCTGCTGGTGCTGGTAGCCATGATGGGGTTGCTGGCGACGGTGGTACTGGGACTGGGTGCCATTACCTGGATGGTTGCCTTGGGGTGAGTTGCGCATCGTTGTTCGTAGGGATGGGACAAACGGATCTCTACGAGCGTGGAGAAAAAAATGCGGTAGCCACTCGGCGGATGCTCCAGAATATATAGGGGGCGATTCGAGTCTCGGATTGTGGCGCGAGGGAGACAACCAGTAGGGTCTTGGATCATGCGCCGATCGGAACGTAGAGGTCGTTGGTGGGAGGGTCACTTTGCCTCGTGGTAAGAGACAAGAGGATCCACAGGATGCAGCTTGGGAATGCTGCATCTTTAATGCGGTTCCAGAGGGACTGGCGGTTCGGTTTAGTCATCAGATCGTAAACAAGAATGGCCATAAACATGACCAGCACGCTATAGAGTGGGGTCATTGATGTTTGAATGGTGCTGTATTAAAAAAATTTCCAGTTTCCGCTGCCCACCTGAGTCACAATCTGTGCGATGGGGTTGCTGGGGGTTTCAAACTTCTCGCCAGTGATTGGATTGTGAGCGATCTTGGGATCCAGAATGTCCTTCTGAATGTCCTCGAGGAACTTCTCGGGGGTCTTGCTCATGTGGAGATTCCAGGCCTTGGTCAGGGTCTCGCAAACGACCGCCTTGTCGTTGGGAGGCAGGCCAAATGTCTTGTTGTCAATGCGAACGAGGGCAGCCAGAATGAGAATCAAGTAGCCATAGTCGGGGAAGCGGGCAAGAGCATCGGGAATGCATTGCGTCAGCGGACCAACGCGGAGACGGTCGATGGTGCGCAAGTAAACCACATGAGCCAGGGCATAGACGGGGCAGGTGGCATGAGGGTCGATCTGGCGTCCAATGCTCATGTCGCGCTTGAGCTCGTTGCGGTTGAAATAGGGATCGATGACCTGCTCATCGTAGACGGAAATCGAGGACACGTCAGCAGAGACAAAGGCTGGGTTGATCTTTTGGATCAGAGCGTCGACAATATCGTTCTCGACGGATCGGACGATATCGATATTGTTGTCGGCACTGGCCGAGGACCAAATGAACTTTGGGAAGAGCTCGGAGAGCGAGTTGATGACATGGGTCTTGTTGCTGACAGGGTCCTGCTTCAACAGGTCGATGGCAGTCTTGATGCGATTGAAGGTGGGGAGGTGGTAGATGATGTGCTTCAACTGGTTCTCATCCCACTCCTTGATCGGCTGGTCGTGGAAGAAGCGATAGACTTCATCGTGATGGGGGTCGACGGCGGCCATATCCTGGATATGTGTATGTGTTGCTGAACAGAAACATACAAAAAAAACTGGGTGAGCAGTGAACAAGTGAGCAAGCGAGCAGAGAATGAACAAGAGCGGTTACAGTCGCAAGTCCCTGACGGGCTTCACCGGCCAGGACGTCACCGACAGCATCGACATCCCCGCGCTGCTGCAGATGCTCAGCCAACAGGCCCAGACCGGCACCTTCAACAACATCATCATCTCGGGCGGCACCGCAGACAACTTTATCATCGGCAACCAGCTGCCGGCCCCGGGAACGTTCACATCGATCACGGTGACGGGTGGCGTGTGGTTCCTCGATGTCTACGGACACCAGGGATTCATATGGAACCCAGGCACCTTTGGCGGGAATCCATACCCAGGGAGCCTGACGCTGCAGGCGAGTCTGACGGTGGATCAGAGCACACAGCTGGGTGAGATCACCATCGCAAACAACACAATCGAGTCGCAGGGAGATCTGCAGCTCAATCCGGGGACGGGGACGGTCGATCTGGCAGGAGATCTAGCGCTGAGCAACCGGGTATTCATCAGCGTCGAGCGGCTGAGTGCGGCAAACGACAACTCGACACAGATCAGCGTGCTCGTCCAGGCCACTTACATCTCATGGACGCAAGCGGCATCCATCGTGCTGCCGAACGGTGTGCAAGACGGCCACACGAAGATCTTGATGGTGTCGTCGCCCGGCACATCCCCTCTGGTCGTCAAGGGGCGCTTCGTGCCGGTCGTTCGTGGCGGAACCGTTCCATCCGGGCAGAGCTATGCGATCCAGCTGCAATATAGAGGCGAGTCGACGCAGTTCCTGTGGGATAACCAGGTGCAGGCATGGATGATTGTGAATAGCGGTGCAAAGGTGGTGGTCGTGTCGAGCTGAGGCTGGCCTGGCCGGATCGCGGGCAGAAACGCGAGCAAAAACGAATTTTTCGGGTGGGTGGCACGCCAAAATACAAACCACCACGGAGCAAAACCGCCTATCCCCATTCGAGAGGATCGAACCAGAGTTACCATAGGGCAACCACCAAGTCGATTGAATGACGAAAGGTTCAGTGGAGTGTGTGTGTGTTTTTCAGAAAGAGCACGTACGAGGAATCGAACTCCCGGACCCACCATGTCGGTGGCACGCGCTATCGAGTGGACTAAACTCGCTTCTGCTCAACAAGGCACTTCCACGACTCTTGTCCCTTCCCATCCAACCACGTGACCTGCTATGGCCCTGAAGACCTTTCGATCGCATCACCTCGCCCAGCCAGTATATGGCTCTACAGAGACTGCACGAGCGCAAGACCATTCCACTGCGTATATTTGCACCACAAATCACAAATCCTCATCGCTATCCGAGTCGTTGTGACGATCGTCAGATGCAAAGGAGTAGAACATGTCTGGATGGGACTGGGCGAACTTCACAAAGGACAGACGACCCATGGGGTTGAGCATATCGGGCTGGAAAGTCAACACGCGAAGGTCCTCAAAGACGGGGGCGTCCTCAAAAGTCAAGACGGGGGTGTTGCCCATGAACAAGGATTGCAACCTTGGCATCGCACCACCGCAGTCGAGCTTGGTGATGCGAGTGTTCGTGATATCCAGAGTGGTGAGTCGATTCATGGTTGGCATCCCCATGAGCGTGGCGATGCCAGAGTTGCGAGCAGAAAGGTAGCTCAGACGAGGGGTCGGAGGCAGCGTGATGAAGGACACCAGGTTCTCGCAAAAGTCCAGATTGAGCGAATGGAGATTCATGGTCGACACCATGTGTAGGAGATGGTATCTCCGACGCTGTGCTGCGCGTACTGCGCGTACTGCGCGGCGCAGTGGGTCGTGACCTGTGCTGCGCTTTGCGTTTTCACGCACCGCAGGCAGGCCACCGCAGGGTATACCTGCGGGTTGCCCCCGTTCCCCCCGTTTGTCTGGAGTTCGGTTTTATCGTGAATAAACGTAAGTGCTCCCCGAGCTCACCCGTCCGCTAGAGTAGCCTAGCACCGCCCTGTTCTGCCCCGTCCTGTCTTGTCTTGTACCCCCTCCCTCCCCGTCTTGCCCCAACGTCCCAGTAGTGGACGTTACATGGTAGCATCGGAAATCCTCGTCTTGTTTTCGTCCTGTTTGTCCTCTTTCTAGATCCTCAAGCTGGATCCCGCCTCTCTTGCCGACCGACTCTCCTCTCTGTCCCTGGAGCCTGCCCCTGCCATGAGCAACCCCCGCCCACTTCCGGAAGCCTTCCTCAAGACCTTCCGTGCCCCAGTGTTTACTGGGAAGAGCCGCTCCTCCTCGGTGGAGGACTGGCTGCAGCAACTCGAGGACTACCTCGATGCTGCCCAAGTCGCCCCCACCCACCACATCGTCGCCGCCAAGCTCTGCTTAAAGGACCAGGCGTACCGTTGGTACCGCCGCCAAGGGTTCGACGAGCAGAGCGAAGGTGTGTTTGACGACTTCAAGGACCGCCTCCGTCGCCGCTTCGGCAGCCCCAATGCTGAACTCATTGCCCGTGACAAGCTATACTCTCTCGTGCAGCGTGGTTCTGTGACCCGCTACATCGAGGAGTTTGAAGACCTCTCCTCCCAGATTGAGGAGCTGGGCTCTGCTGATGCGATGTACCTCTTCCAGAAGGGCCTCAAGCCCAAGATCAGAGAGTACATCGCCAGCAACCCTGATGCCCGCAAGTCCCTGGACGTGATGATGGACGTTGCCGAGAACCTCGACAACGTCCAGTACCATGGCCGCCAGTTCTACCCGCAGCTGGCAGGCGGCCATCGGTCTCATCACGTCCCAGCCCGTCCGCCTCGCCCGGCCCCGCCCGCAAGACCCATGCCTGAGCCCATGGACGTTGACGTCAACGCCATGGAGGCTCGTGGCCCTCCCCGCTCCCGGTTCCAGCAAGCTGCCACTGTCTCCCCCAAGGACAGACAGAAGCAGGAGGACCTCCGCCATGGTTCCTGCTTCTTCTGTCACCGACCGGGACACCAGGCCAAGGAGTGCCCCATGAAGTCGGGAAACGGCCGACCCTACTAGGTGGCTCTGGAGCCCTAGTAGGAGACCAACGCCGTGGATTGCTCAATGCAGTCCACGCGTCTCCAGAGGAAGTTCACCTCGCCCCCTCCCCCGAAGGAGAAACAAACCAAGTGTTGTGCGTCGTGCGAGAGGTGCATGGTGGCGCAAGCCGCCTGCCTCTCCACGAACGTGAAGAGAAAACCAAAATTGAAAACCAAAACAAAAAAGAAAATCAAGAACCCTTGAGGGACAGGACCGCCTGTGCCCTCACCCCTGTCAAGTCGTGTGTGTCGGATGCTTCCGACATGTGTCCGCAAGCCGTGGACGTCGTGTGCAATGGCGTGCTGACGCCGCAGGCCCCCGCAATGGCCGAACCCTATCCAAAATGTCCGAGTGGCCGTGATGAAGCCAACCAAGACCAAGTGTCGCCCGTTCCCCCAAGTCAAGTCATGGTGCAGGAGGCTGTGCAGGAGGACCATGAAGAGTCCCTGCTGTACCTCCCTGCCACCGTCCAAGGTCACACCGTCCGAATGATGGTGGACTCTGGAGCAAGCTGCAACTTTGTCAGCAGACGCTTGCTCCAGGAGCTCAACATACATGCAACCAAGAAGAAGTCGCCGATGAGTGTGGCGCTTGCAGACGATCGTGTGCAGCAGTGCACACACCAAGTGGTCCTGCGAGTGGCCCTCCATCCCAAGTACCATCCTGTCCTGTTGTTCCAAGTGATCGACACCAAGTTCGATGCCATCCTCGGCATGAGCTGGCTTGCTCGTGCCGAGCCGACTCCAGTCGTCGACTGGAAAGGCCGCACTGTCCGTGTTGGCCCTGACATTGTCCTGCAGGGCATGGCCTCACCCAACATGCCACCTCTCCTCTCAGCCATGCAATTCAAGAGGCTGATCAAGAAGGACACGTCGTTCCTCTGTGTCGTGCGTGAGGTCGACGACACCGACCAAGCCGGTCCCGGTCCCCCGCCTGTGGTGACCAAGCTGCTCGACGAGTACAAGGACGTATTCCCCGACCAGTTGCCACAATGCCTGCCACCCCAACGCACCGTCGATCATCGCATCGACATCGAACCAGGCTCGTCGCCTCCGTCAAGACCGACGTACCAACTGTCGCTGACGGAGATGGACGAACTCAAGCGCCAGTTGGATGACCTCCTCGCCCATGGGTTCATCCGCCCGAGCCAGTCACCGTATGGTGCACCAGTGCTCTTTGTCAAGAAGAAAGAAGGTGATCTCAGGATGTGCGTCGACTATCGCGCACTAAACAAACAGACCATCAAGAACACCTACCCGTTGCCCAGGATCGACGAGTTGATGGATCGTCTGAGTGGAGCAAAGGTCTTTAGCAAGATAGACCTCCGCTCAGGCTACCATCAGATCCGCATCCACGAGGATGATGTCCACAAGACCGCCTTCAGGACTCGCTACGGACTGTACGAGTTCCTAGTGCTGCCGTTCGGATTGACGAACGCACCTGCCACGTTCATGCAGCTGATGAACGATGTGTTCCGCCAAGAGCTCGACAACTCTGTCATCGTGTACCTGGATGATATCCTTGTGTACAGCAAGGATGAAGCGACCCATGAAGGTCATGTCGCCCGCGTGCTGGCCAAGCTACGCGAGCACAAGTTGTATGCCAAACTGTCCAAGTGTGAGTTCTTCAAGAATCAAGTCCCGTTCCTGGGACACGTTGTCTCAGGAAGAGGAATCGAAGTCGACCCCGCCAAGGTCAAGTCTGTGGTCGAGTGGCCGCCGCTCGCATGCGTCTCTGACGTGCAGTCGTTTCTCGGTCTCGTCAACTACTACCGCCGATTCATCCCCGATCTGGCGCGCACTGCCGGTCCACTCACAGACCTACTCCGCAAAGAGTGCCCCTTCGTGTGGGACCACCCACAACGCCAAGCGTTCGAGACCCTCAAGCACGCCTTGACGAACGCTCCTGTCCTCGCTGTGTTCGACCCGAACACGGATGTCTCCGTGCACACCGACGCCTCCGACTTTGCGGTGGGAGCTGTTTTGATGCAGGAGGGAAGGCCCGTTGCCTTCGAGTCGCGCAAACTGTCCCAACACGAGATCAACTATCCCGTGCACGAGAAGGAGCAGCTTGCGATCATCTACGCGCTGCAGAAGTTCCGAGTGTACCTCCACGGTACCGCCAAGCCCTTCAAGATTGTGACGGACCACCAGTCACTGCGTTACCTCGACACCAAGAAGAACCTGAGCCGACGCCAAGCGCGATGGATGGAGTTCCTCGCCGAGTACAACTACGAGGTTGTATACCAGAAAGGCAAACTCAATGTGGTGCCTGACGCACTGTCCCGACGCCCCGACTACCAATTGGCGTCACTGTACGAGTCGACTGTCAGTGTCGACAACACGATGCTGGATGTTGTCCGAGACAACATCGCCAACGACAAACAGTTCGGAGAACTGTTCCGAAAGGTGTCTAAGCTCCCCAAGGACGACGAATCATCCGAGTACACAGTGCGTGATGGCCTGCTCCTCCTGAAGAAGGACAGCCGTGTCTGTGTGCCGGACATTCCGTCGTTGAAGACCAAGTTGCTCCAAGAGGTCCACGACTCGCCCCTCGCTGGACACTTTGGAGTCGAGAAGACATACGACCGACTGGCCAAAGTCGCATACTGGCCTGGAATGAAGCGCACCGTCGAGAAGTACATCGAGTCCTGCCATACCTGCAAGATGGTCAAGTCACGCACGACCCGAGAGCAAGGATTGCTGCAACCCCTGCCTGTTCCCGACCGCCCCTGGACCAGCATGTCCATGGATCTCATCACGCATCTACCGACGACCAAGTTGGACCACGATGCAATCGCTGTCTTTGTCGACAGGTTCAGCAAGATGGCACACTTTGTGCCGTGCCAGACGACATGCTCCGCGCCTGACCTTGCACTGCTGTTCTTCAAGCATGTGTTCAAGCACCACGGCCTCCCAAAGTCCATCGTCAGTGATCGAGACCCCCGATTCACCTCCTTGTTTTGGACAAGTCTGTTCGACCATCTCGGCACCAAGCTGAACATGTCAACCTCGCACCACCAACAAACGGATGGACAGTCCGAGCGGACGATCCGCACCCTCGAGCAATACCTGAGGACATACGCCTCGACCAGCCAAGACGACTGGGACATACAGCTGAGTCATGCAGAGTTTGCATACAACACCGCCAAGTCGAGCACAACTGGCTTGAGCCCCTTTGAGGCGCTCTACGGATTCCAGCCTGATGTTCCCACCTCCTTGACACTGACCGAGTCCACGGCTGGATTGCCTCCCAAACCAAGTGCCTTTGTCAAAGATCATCAAGTCCGACACAAGATGATCGCCGACGCGCTCACGGATGCGCAACAAGTGATGGCGAAGTACTACGACCGCCGACACCAGGATGTCTCCTTTGAAGTTGGAGACCTTGTCTACCTGGACGCCGACAACATCAAGGTCCCCGAAGCCCAGTCAAAGAAGTTGTTGCCCAAGTACCGAGGACCGTTCAAGATAGCGGCCCGACCCAGTCCCCTCAACTACCTGTTGGACTTGCCACCTGGAAGCAAGCTCCATCCTGTCTTCCATGTGTCCAAGCTGCGTCGCCACACGACCCGCAGTCCAGCACAGTTCCCCGACGCCGACGAAGGTGTCCCGGACGACGCACCACTGGAAGACGACCTCGGACAATACTATACTCAAGAATATGAAGTCGAAAGGATCGTGAGGCACAAGAAAGTGGCTGATGGGTCACTTCGGTTTTATGTCAAGTGGGTTGGTTACCCACACTCGGGCAACACATGGCAAACACTGGAGGACTTGTCCCATGCACCCGAGGAGCTGAGTAAATACGGTAAACACCTCGAGGAGCCCCAAATAAAGAGCACACGCAGGGCTCCTCGCAGGAAGCCTTCTTAAGTGTGGGAGTGTAGGAGATGGTATCTCCGACGCTGTGCTGCGCGTACTGCGCGTACTGCGCGGCGCAGTGGGTCGTGACCTGTGCTGCGCTTTGCGTTTTCACGCACCGCAGGCAGGCCACCGCAGGGTATACCTGCGGGTTGCCCCCGTTCCCCCCGTTTGTCTGGAGTTCGGTTTTATCGTGAATAAACGTAAGTGCTCCCCGAGCTCACCCGTCCGCTAGAGTAGCCTAGCACCGCCCTGTTCTGCCCCGTCCTGTCTTGTCTTGTACCCCCTCCCTCCCCGTCTTGCCCCAACGTCCCAGTAGTGGACGTTACACCATGCTGAGCCCATCAAAGGATACGATGCTCGTGCCAGACATCGAGAGAAACTCTAGTTGGTGGGCATGGGGGAAGCCACGCAGACTGATCAAGTTGTTGAAGCCGTCGAGTTTGAGTTCCCGGAGCATGGGGAGGCGAGGGGGGAAGTGCCTGAGAGACGCTGGTGAATTGGCACAACGTGGGGATACGACAAGCGTTTCCAAGCGAGGCATCTCCTGGGGCATTCCGCGGAATGACTTGATCTCACGTACACTCGTGAACATGAAGCACTGAATGGCAGGGAGTGACTTTGGCAGACCCTGTAGGTCAGGAACATCGCACCAATTGATGGTGAGGGATGTCAGCGCCGGCCAGTGAATGGGAAAGTCGTGAAACCCATAGGGGATGTTGCAGTCGCTGAATGAAAGCGAATCCAGCGTCGCGGCGACTGTTTGAAACACACCGAAGGTTAAGATGGTCGAGGACTGGCCAATCGAGATGTGTCGAAGGGAGGTACCAACGAAAGCATACTGTGTGCTCATCATGAACACAAAGTTGCTCAGAGTGAGCACCTCGACATTGGGTGTCGTGGGGAGCTTGGTGGGCTCGAAGCGACTCATGGAGCCATAGTACTCGATTTGACTGGCGCCTTCAAAGCAAACTGCGCCTGGGATTCTAGTCGCAATATCTGCAGGGAGTCTGATGTGGGCACGCGGTGCGAGGCTCTTCACCATGGAAACGACCATCGCGAGGTAGACCGGGGATGCGGCGAATTCGGTGGTGTCGCGCTGATGGTACACCAAGAACTCGGTCCAGATCAGCTCCTTCGATATGAAGAAAGCGACATCGATCGATTCAGGGGTGAACTCGAGCATGTTGATTTTGTATACGCCGCGGTTGAAGAAGTGAAGGCATGCGCTGCCAGCACTGGTATTGCGGGCACTGATATCGATGTCTTGATCCTCTGGAGCCGCTCTGCTGACGATTCGGTTGATGACCAGCAGACGATGGGTGCGCTCCATCATTGCCTTCAGAGTGGGGCGATCGACCATGGCTCGAACGGCATCGAGGAGCGGCGACATCGGGTACAAGGCGTACTCCCACAGGCGGGCCTCGAATGGAGCAGGAATGTCGCTGCGACGGTGGATGAACGATCCGATCGCACGCAGGACAGAGTAGTGATCCCCGTCTGCGATGGTGTACTTGGGGAGCTTGACGACGCTGCGGTAGACCTCGGGCCACCATACCTGGTTGGACGGGTTCAAGTAGTGGTGGGTTGCTTGGTTGACACGCGAGAGGACCACAAAGTCGCGGATACCAAGGTATCCCCCGTCGATCAGGAGGATGAGGATGATGGCAGATGCGTTGGAATCGTCAAAGGGCATGGTGGCGAGGGAAGGTAGCGACCATCTCACGGCCCACACCCGGCCTGCTATTTATGTGAGGAATCGGAGTCGGAGGCGGAGACAGAGTTGGCGGAGGGAGACTACTTTTTATTGGCGATGGCATACTCCACTGTCATGCGAACAAGCCGCATGTGGAGTTTGAACAGGACCATCAAAACAACAAGATACACTGCGATTTTGTTCAAGTTGATGGGATGAGCTTTGTACTGGCAACGGAAGATCACCTCGCAATTGCTCACCACCACTCCATACACTCTGTGGTTGATGGCAAAGATCAGATCGCGCATCAGGAAGTGCCTGGCGTGAATGGCCACCTGGCAGAGGCGATCAAAGCGATAGAGATCCTGCAGGAACGAGGGACCGACGGCCTTGGTGGCGGAGATATCGAGGTGGGTCAGGTTGGGACACTTGGCAGGCAGATGTGCGAGGGTCGTCAGATTGGGTGGAGTGCTCAAGCTCTCGACATGGGGGAGGACAGGCAGATCCCCCATGTCGGTGGTGTCTTCGAAGCACTCGCAGAAACGCAAATCCACGATGATATTGCCATTGTTGAGGTGATCGCGAAGATCACCCCAAGGATCGGTGATGTTGTCCCAGCGACAGACCACGAACATCTGGGGAACGACGCCGGGTGCGTCGGGGCTCTCGGTCTGGGGAGAAAGAAACAAAGCGTCAGGGGCAAGGTGGGCGCCTGGAAGGGTGTATGGTGCGAGGCGTGGTGTCGTACCTTGGGGCACGAACAATGCTGCTTGTCGTCATGGCCCAGTTCGTCGATGAAGACAAAGGCCCTCTCAGTCAGGGCATCCACGAGAGCGTCGGCGTTGGAATGCTTGGAAGACATGGTGGTTGCTCTGAAGGGAACATGCGCTGGTGCAGGTGAAAGGGGGAGGTCGCAGAGGGGCGGCTTAAATGGCGAGGCAGGGGGTCCCGTTGGCCGCAGAGGCCATCATCTGCACGGCGGCGTTTCGCGAGCTATCCACCCCACACACCCTAAGCCACGAGGGTGGACGAAGGTTCGAACAGCTCAAAGGGCTGCTTGTTCATGATGACGTTGAGCGAGGCATAGAAGGCGATGGCCAGCGCGAGAGCGAGTACCTTGTCGTGCGAGGCGGTCCAGACGATGAGGAACATGATGAGGAGCTTGAACCAGACCTTGTTGAAGAGGTTTTGGATCGACTGAGGCAGCGCGGGAGCGGCCAGACCGCCATAGAGAACCAGGGCGATGGTCAACAGCGAGTTGAAGACGGGGTTGTCGAGCTCGTGAGTCAGCACCGAGTTCACATTCTGTGTGGACGATTGGATGTTTTGGAACAGAGAAGACATGGGTGTGGATCACAGAGTGTTGCTACTGAGATGCCAGAAAAAAATTATATGTACTGTTATCAAACTAGTTTATTGACTGCAGTCCATGGCTCAGAGGCTAGATATTTTCAACCTGAATGACACGCATCGTGGCGGTCTCGAAAGCGATGAATCGAAAGCCATTGTGGAGTTCTATCTGGACAACCCCAGTGCTGCCTTGAGCAACAATTACCGGCATGTCCTCACCGATACCAACCACGACCAGCGTTCCTTTGAGCCGCGCCACTATTTTGCTGGTGTTGGGTTCTCTCCCGAGCTCACCCGTCAGCTGGTTGCCGAGAAGATGACCTTCCGCGATGTATTCAAGCGCATCAAGACCATCGTTCTCAAGATCATCAAGCAGGTGGCCAAGAAGAACAGCGGTAATGACACTGCCCCGACCTGGAACTCGCGTTACGCCATCATGAAGACCTTCCAGAGCGCCTCCATCTTCAGCATGCCCATGACCATGCTTGTGTACGACACGATGCAGGGGGTGTACAACACCTTTGATGACTTTCTGAGGGATCTCGAAGACAAGATCACCTCGGGCTTTATCGAAGACCTCTACACCCAGATTGCAGTCAATCTTCCGTCGCAGCGCGCCTTGGGTTTGCGGGTGCTTGCCGTGTGTGTTGTCGTGACCAAATACAAGAACATCATCGAAAAGAAGCTCGATCTGAAGCGATACTCGAACGAAGTCTGGAAACAACTTACCGTGGGGCTTCTGACGTACATTCCGTTCAATACACGGGCCAAAGACCAGGATGGAACACGATTAGATAACGCCAATTTCCCTGAAGTCAAATATTACAAATCGCTTATACCCTTCGATGTTGCCTTCATCAACCGCCGAGAGATACAGGTTCTGTTGGTGTTCAAGCGATACCTGCTTGACCCGATGCAGGTCCTGTACATGAAGGCACATTCAAACGCCGGCCACAAATCCATCGACCCCAGCAAGCCACTCGACTTTACCGCAGCTCGCATCCAGTTCTGCGGTCTCCGTAACGCTTTCACATCCTATGTCATCAACCGAGTCATCAAGCCTCCGTCAAACCTGGATCCGTTCGACTGGTTCGACAATGTCTACACCATCGGCCTGCCTGCATATCTGATGGATCTCTTCCAGATCGCCTTCAAAGCCTCCAATACCGATGTCCTCTCCGGTATCCTACAGCTCATATTTGTGGAGTTCTTCAGTGTCCTGGCCATCCTCACATGGATGGAAAAGTATCAGTACAGAAAGGAAGATCCGGAGTTCAACCGAGACTTCAGCGTGTCGCCCGAGGATATCCTTGGTTATGTCAAGTTGGAGTTCACTCCTGCCACGCAGAACGACTACATCAACAAGCAGACCATCCAGGGATATGTCATTTCCACGATCATGACGGGTGACCAACCTGATCAGCTGTGGCACATCCTCTATCCGCAGAATCACCACCGTCGTGTCGTTGATATGATCAAATCGATCATGGAAGGTGATGTAGCCTTCACAAAGATCTATCCCGGAGACAACGCCGGTACAAAGTATGCCACCACACATATCATTTCAATGGTCCCGACCAATAAAATCGTTCCAGTGACTCCAGCTGCTGGGCCGGAATATCCAGATGCCAATCAGTTCCAAAATAATTTGATTCGCCGTGGAATCCATCCCGTACCCGCTGATAATCCACCTGCAATATATAACGACACTGCCGACCGTACAAACCGATGGAAACAAGACACGAAACTTACATGTCGATATCTTGTGGGTTGGAGTTATATCGACGAGTTGATCATGGTCCCGTTCTTCATCGACACTCAGTTCTTCAACATCGAGGAGCCCACCGAAAGCAAGCATTACAAGATAGCTCGTGGCATTGTCCCAAAGCAATATTACAACTTTCCACGAATTGGTACAGCGCTGAATAGAGGGCAACCACCTGTCGATACAGTTACCAATTGGGGGGCCCCAGATGACAGATTACAAGTAGAGCAGGGACGTTTGAACTTGGAAGTGGTCGGTATCAAACGAGTTCGTGCCTTCAACCAGGCATATACTGCTCTCCTTATAGCTCAGAACAATCTGAACGATGCCGTGACGACTCTTAACGGCGTGAGACCAGGGAACGATTTCAGGGCCCGATTGGACGCTTATAAAGATGCCTTGAATAAGGTAGCACTTACCGAATCGTTCGTGGATGTCATGTCACCGTATCAATACGCAAAGCGAGACGACTTCCTGTTCCCTTCCAATGTCCAGTTCCCTCTCATGAGCTTTGTCTCGACACTGCACAAGAACCTGGAGAAGGCCACCCCAAACAAGAGCAATGTGCCCAACCCTGGTAGAGGCCAGCGACACCACTTCATGTTCACCAACAACAGCCCTGTCGAGTTCACAAAGGACTCGCTCGAGGTGGTCATCACCGACCTTTCTGGCTTCAATGATCTCAACTTTGTCCTTGAGAAGAGTGCCCATAGCCGACTCCTGCACGACCAGGAAGATGAATGAGTGCGCAGCGATGGTCATTGAAATTTTGGTGTGCTGGGTTGAGGGAAAATGAAATACGGTTTCACTGCTGACACGCCGACTGAGCAAGAAACGGGTATCGCCATGTCAACACCAATGCCTACCGTCGCTGACGACAAGCGCTTCATCCTGCGTGTCTGCCGTTCGTTGGCCGTTGATGACTTTATCGCCGCCGGTGCCATCGGTCTATATCAGCGGCTTCTGATCAACTACAGCGACCACCTTCCCTGCAAAGACAACACGGTCTTGTGCATCGCCATAGTTTGTCTCATACTCAAGATCGAGCTTGACTATGAATATCTCGACACAACCCGCATCATCACCACCGCTCAGGCGGCCAGGTCGCTGTTGGCTGGGGGCGATGCAAAGAAATCCAACTGGTCATTGGGAAGTATCAGTACCAGCAAGGAGCGACATGCATTTTACAAATCGATATGGAGCCAAATCTCCAGCGAGGAGCGTCGCATTCTATCGTTGCTCGAGGGAAACGTCATCCCTGAAAACCAGACACAAGTCAATCCAATGGCCATCCTTTACACGATTACTCAAAACTGGAAAAAGGAGCAGCGTGTCTTCAGGAAGCTCGTTCAAGACCAAATTCTCGAACTCAGTATCGAGACAGACATGCTATCGACCCATGAACCCAGGGCCGTCATACTTGCCGTCATTCAACATGAGGCTCGTGAGCGTGGGCTCCCACTTCTGGTGATCAGTGAAACCGATGCTCAGTTGATGGCCGACGAGCGCATGATCGACATGGTCTCCGCCGCCTGCGCAAAAACGAAACCGCAGTAAACCTTTCCATTCAGTACATAGCATAACCCCCCTCACCATCGCACGCAAGCATGAACACCGGCAGCGCCAGATTCGGCGAGACCTTCATCAATCTCAGCATCAACCCACACGACGTTACCTTCAAGCGTGATGGTATCGTGGGCGAAGATCGCTTCCTGCGTTATCAGCCGTCGATCTCGGATCCGCAGCCGGCTCCGTGTCCATCCGAATTGTCCCTGGCACCGCTGTCTCTTGTGGATCGCGGTAACCCCGCCTTCCAGCCGAAATCGATGGTCTGCTCCTACATGGACCATATCTACACCGACACAGATATGGAGCCCGCAGCGCCGCTATCCACCGAATCGAAGCAAGACCACCTCTTGTGTTGGTGGTGCGCCCACCACATCGAGGGAAACCCCGTCGGCTACCCGACCAAGATGCGTGGGGAAAAATACGAGTGCCGCGGGTACTTTTGCAGCTTTGAATGTGCCATGGCATACGTGCGCGACAAGCCATGCAAGCAGTCGATCCCGCTCCTCGGCAGCATGTACCGGGCCATCACGGGCAACTCACCTCTGTCGCTGAAGAAGGCACCGCCCCGGGAAGCACTGACCTGTTTCGGCGGCACGATGAGCATCGAGCAATTCAGAAGTCACTTTGACAACTCCAACACTATCGTGCGGGTCAAGCACCATCCATACATTGACATCAAAGCACAGAGCATCGACGAGATTCCGCTCTCCACGACGAGCAACCCGATCCCATCCGTCGCCAACTCGAACCAGGAGCAGACCGTGTACAATACCTTTGGATCGGTGTTTGTAAGGAGTGAACAAGCGCAAGGACGAAGACCAAGTGCTTGGTATGAGCTTTATTAGCTTTTAGCCCCGAACACCAAAGAACAAGTTTTGTTCGAACTGGTGTTCAACATAGGCTCAGACATGCAGGGCTATTTATAGACCGGGAGAAGGTCGAGGGGCAAAAGTGGGCGAGAAGGGTGGAGCATCACAGAGAAGCGAGAAGGGGGTGCGAGAGTGGCTGGTGTGCAAGCGAGAGAGGCTTGGCACAGCCCGGGGACATGTGCCGAGCGGTGGGGGAGGCAGGAAACCAGTAGACGCGGGTGGCAACGGCGCGTGCTCATGCATGGGGGCAAACAAACACGTGGGGACTCATGATTGGTGCGGAGGGCGAGAGCATGCGGGACAATCTCATTGGTCCGTTGTGATGCTGGTCATCACACTATCTCCTCCTTAAACTACGGCGTGTTCCATCTTGAGTTCTCCTGGGGCCAGGCTTGTCTGGGTAGCGTCGGTGGTACTCCGCGGCCACCGTTGGGGCAAAGACAATGTCGGCGGGCTCCCAACTTCGATCGGTGACCGGGTAGCCTTTCCAATCGATGAGATAGTCACGCAGAGCGTGAAGTTCGGGCTCGGACAGTGAGTACAGAGGCCCGAACTTTGGCGACTTGCCCGGCTCCAAGTCAATGGGGCAGTCATAAGGGCGATGCGGAGGCAAGGAGTCAGCTTCCTGTTTAGAGAAAACAGACAGGAAGTCCTTGTACTCCGCAGGCACTTCGACAGTCGCAGTGCTCGGCTCGTCAGTGGGCAGGACATGGACCTGAAAGATGGTCAGGGGTTGCGTTCCATGCCTGCATGCATCCAAAGACTCGCGCATCGAGCGGTAATCAATGCTGCAGACGCGGAGAGGAGCGTCCGAGCTGAGAGGAGGGGCGTGGACAAGGTCAGAATAATGTTCGACGGTTACTTTATTCTGAACAATGTCCGAAGAACAAACAACAGGAGGAGGTACATCAAGGAGGGAAAGAGAACTGACAACAGAAGAAGGGGTTTGGGAAGAGCGAAGGGGTTCGGGAGGAACAAGACAAGAAGGGGAAGACGAAGGTGGGAGCGTAGGAGAGGAGCTTAGATCAATCAAAGGAGTGGAATCATCAAGAAGGGGAGTGACATTGGAGGAAGTGGAGCAAGACGAAAGAGAAGTAGTGCATGGAGAGGGGTCGGAATCAACAGAAGGAGGGAGACAAAGAAGACCGCGAGACCAGACAATCTTGGGCTCGGCGGTGCGCAACCAAGGAAAGCCAAGGATAAGTGGTTGATGTGGAGACCTGATCACATCGAACCGAAGGCGTTGCGAGACGTCCCCGAGAATCACCTCGAGTGGAGCAGTCTCGCGGAGGATGGGGCCAGACGACAGCGGCTTACCATCCACGCCTTCCACTGCCAAGGGCGAAGCCTTGGAGCAGGTGGGGACAGAGTGTCGAGCAACAAAGTCCTCGTCGATAAAGTTGCCAGAGGCACCAGAATCGACAAGTCCTTCGCACGACAGAGAATCACCAGAAGGAAGACGAACAGCGACGGGAACAACCAACGAGCAACGACGAACAGACGAAACACAAGACTTTGGTTCGGTACCAGCTTCGGCACCAGGGTTGCGGCTAGCACAGACAGTTAACTTTGCCGAGGGTTGGCAGGACAGCTCAGGTATTTGCACCTGTGGATGAGGTGCAGTTCCCAGTGACACCAGAGGTGCCACGGGTACTATGCCAGAGCTGAGAGTGTCCGCCGGTCCAGAGGCAAGGCGAAGCTGTCCGCACATCACTGCTTCCCCAGTACTTACCAAAGGCACCTTACCAATGTCTTCACTTTCGGAAGGCGGTGGGCACGGCTCCGGTTCAAGGCCTTCACTTAGAACCGGGCCTGGTCGTTTCCCGAACTGAAGTCTTGCACTTCTCCATCTTCGTAAACGATGGTGCGGATGATCCTCGGGCCGGGAGGTCCAGGGGGCGGTCCGGTAGCTCTGGTAGATCCAAACTTGACGGGGCAGTTTCGTACCAAGTGGCCCTTCTTGCCACAGTACAGGCAGAGTCCAAAGCGGCGGCGGCGTTGTTTCTCCTCGGCGGTCAGGGGTCCAGAGACGGCAGAGTCCACTTGCATGGGCTCGGAAACAATGTAGGAGGGGTGCGGCGGAGCGAGGACGGGCGCGGGAGCGATGGCGGGAACGGCAGCGGAGGCGGAACCAAAGGCGAACTGGGAAGACCGGTAGCGGGCAGGCGTGCTTCGGCGCTCTTGACGGCGCTCGCGGATTCGTGCATCGAGCTCGTTACAAAGCTCGATGTACTCCTCCAGATCTCGTGGCAGAGGGCGAACTCGCGAAAGTTCGTCTCTGACATCATCCGACAAGCCAAGTCGGAAGAACGAGATCTTTGCACCGTCGTTCCAAGTCGTATCGGCGGCAATACGAAGGAACTCGGATGCATAGACTGCGCACGGGCGGTTGCCCTGAGACAGTGTGGTGATCACTGACTCGGCAGTCCTGGCCCGATCAGGGTCGTCAAACACTTTGGAAAAGCGTTCTAGGAAATCGCCAAAAGAGTTGAGTCGGGGATCACCCATCTCAAGCATCGGAGTCGCCCACTGGAGAGCCGGTCCAGTGAGCAGACTAATGACGAATCCGACCTTAATCGGGTCAGCAGGGAACCGGTGGGGCTGCATTCGTATATACAGTTTGCACTGATTTACGAATGCCCGGAACCCTTGCCGGTTACCGTCGTAACGGTCCGGCATCTGCACGCTGTACCCAGCGGCAGGAGCATCGCGAGCTGTCCGGAGCTCGGCGAGCTCGGCCTCCAAGGCACGGAGGCGGTCCACGAGGGCAGGATCCATGGCGGGACTGGGACTGGGACTGGGAAAAAAAAAAAAAGCGAGGAGGTTCAAGAACAGGAGAGCGAAGAGGGCTCAGACACAAGTGTGCTTGAGGTTCGGACAGGACTAGGAAAGGGGCGGGGCTAGGAGCGGAAGATACCAAGCAGGTGGTATCAGTAGAAGAGAGTTCGAACAAAGTGTAAGGAGTGAACAAGCGCAAGGACGAAGACCAAGTGCTTGGTATGAGCTTTATTAGCTTTTAGCCCCGAACACCAAAGAACAAGTTTTGTTCGAACTGGTGTTCAACATAGGCTCAGACATGCAGGGCTATTTATAGACCGGGAGAAGGTCGAGGGGCAAAAGTGGGCGAGAAGGGTGGAGCATCACAGAGAAGCGAGAAGGGGGTGCGAGAGTGGCTGGTGTGCAAGCGAGAGAGGCTTGGCACAGCCCGGGGACATGTGCCGAGCGGTGGGGGAGGCAGGAAACCAGTAGACGCGGGTGGCAACGGCGCGTGCTCATGCATGGGGGCAAACAAACACGTGGGGACTCATGATTGGTGCGGAGGGCGAGAGCATGCGGGACAATCTCATTGGTCCGTTGTGATGCTGGTCATCACAGTGTTGGTCAATAAAGCGTGAAACGATTCACTTGAACAGCTCGTATGTCTTGGTGCCTGTGATTTCAACGAACTGAGGGAGCTGGGTCAGTGTCTTTGTGTGCTGTGTGGTGTCGCGGATGAAACACACCAGCTGCTCCATTTGCGACAGGATCTTTGGGACGGCTACGTTGGTGGCCCTGGCATTCAGCAGCGACAGCTCACCCTGGATGTGCTGCTCCAGCTCTGCCTCAGAGAGCGATGCCTCATCCACATTGTGAGCCCAACCGACATAGACCGACTCCATCAGGATCATGAGATTCGTGTCGGACTGGCGGCCAATGTGCTTCTTGGTGAGGAGAAGGATTTTGTCGGCGATCATGGATTGGATGGTGTCGATGTTGGCTTTGGAGAAGAAGCGTGCGTGCAAGTATGTTCGCTGGAGCGACTCGTTGTACTTGTTGTTCAGCGTGGGTACCTGGGAGATGAGGAATTCTAGCCGCTCTGCGCCGATCGGGTTGGCTGAGGGGATTTGGGGTTGGTGGTAGTATACGAGCGAATTCTGAAAGTTCATTGCGTCGTCTTCTTTCCAGCCCGGGGATCTTTTTTCTCACTGGCGATGCGCTGCACTAATGAGGGAAAATGTATATGTCCACAGATAAGATTCCGAACCGATGGACGATCACCTCGACTCACTCATGGCCAACATGGACAAGATCCATCAAACACCAGGGCCCAACGGACCCAGTATCGAGATCTCAAATGCAAGCAAAGTCGCTCTGCCTCCTTCGCCGCCCCCACGACCTCCAAGTCCAATCATCCTCGCCCCACCATCGCCCAAGCCAGGCTCTCCAATCTTCCGCTCTGATGCCGACACCTTCAACGACTCTCCTCGATTCACTGCACCACCCCCGCCACCTCCAGTGCAATCTCAGCCACATACCAAGCAGCCGTCCGAGGAAGATAAACGGTCCGAAAAGGCCAGGTTGATCTCGCTGTGGGAGCAGGAGAGTAAGAGTGACCCGGGTGCGCGCAAGTTCACCATGGACGACGATATCGAAGACATCCACAATGCACGCGCGTTGAACATGAGCCGCCGCACATTCAGCTCGTCGATGGCGTTCTGGCGCAAAATGCTCCTGTTTGCTGCGGATGGTGTGGTCTACCTCAACAACACGCTCGAACTCACCGGCGTTGACATGACCGACTGGGCTCGCAAGATCCAGTATGATGTCGAAGACAAGGGCGAGTACGACCAGGTCTTGCAGGAGCTGATTGAAAAGTACAAGGACCGCATGAAGATGTCCCCGGAGATCTCGCTTGCACTCGGCCTTGGTACGTCCTTTGGCTTTGCCCTGTTGAACAAGCAGCGTGAGAAGGAAATCATTGAGCGCATGCAACGCATCCAGCGCGAGAAGGAGGAGGCGCTGCGGAGACAGGTTGACGACCAGATCCGACTGCAGCTCGAGAGAATGCGGCAGCAGCAGTACCAACAGCCCAATATCACCGAGCTACCACCCTCGATTCCCGTGGTGAACATTACCATGCCGAATGCCGTGCCTCCTGCACCAGCGGCAGTGCCCGTTGTGTCACCGCCACCAGCGCCACCCACTCAGGCTCCCGGTGTCGTGAGTACATCCAGTTCCCGCGACGATGATGACAACCACAGCGTCGCCGATAGCGTGCGGTCCAAGGGAACGAATGGGGTGCGTCGCCCCCGTGCGCCGCGGAAGAAACCGGAAGACCAGGTCCGCATCGCGCTGTTTGACTAGATCGAAAAACCAAAGTAAGGATACCGATTCCATGAGAAGCACATCATGAGCGACAACATCCAAGCCATCCGCGTCGTGCGCAAACCCGACAGCAGCACCATGTGGTGCATCGAGCCACCCACCATATTGTTGAATGACGTGAAGGCCGTCTTGCACGGCACCGAGCAGCTCTACCTTCAAAGCCACCATGACGTCTTTGAAGCGATCGACCGAGCCGTTCTCTCTGCGTTGCAAGATCCCGAAGTTGTCTTTGGCGGGTTCTTCCACAAGCTCATCATCCTGCCGGAAGACGTCCCGAAGGTGTTCCGTCCGAGCATCTACAACGGTTATCTGAAGGTCAAGCCCGGTGCGCCGCGATCAGGCGGTTTCGGTCTCCCACCGTCGGCCTCGCTAGGGTCCACGATCTCGTGCTCGCTCCGGATCAAGTCTGTGTGGTTCTTCAAAGGGAAGGCGGGGATCACGTACGAGTATGCGGAGAACCCTGTTGAGTTGTCGTCGTTTGACCCATTCGCCTGAACCCGTCAATATATAAAGCGAGTCGATCATCCCCATCTCTGCTGCCCACACCATCCGTCGTCCATCATGACTACCGCCATTGTCGTCGACCTCCTTGATCTGCTCGTCCGCTACTTACCTGTGGGATCCGCGCTGATCGACGCCATGGATCTCGAATCGATCGAAGCACTCGCCCAAACCAGCAAGCGATCGAAAGCGATATTGCGCACGTACTTTCTGCGCAATATCAAGAACCGCCCCGTTTCGCCGATGCTGTTGATCCAGTCGGACCTGGGATTCATCTGGTCGTGCACCAGCCTCGAGGGTATGATCGACATACCCTATATCATCTGGTCCTGCATCGCCTACGACAAGCCGAGACACAGCATGATCAGAGCCTACGCCGAGCATCTCGCTTCGCAGCCGACCAAGCAAGTGACCCAGTCACTGCACTTTGCGCTACGAGTCCCGATCTGCGGCCGAGTCATCCAGGCTTACGAACGCCTGGTGCCATACGCCAAGTTTCAAGAAACCGATATCATCGAGCTCATGCAGGAGCACCCCCCACCATCGGCCGACTACATGCGCGTGCTGCAAAAGCACTTCCCGGCGGCTGTCGACTCACCTGGATTTGCGTATATGTGCGCGACTCGATGCCACTGGGATCTCTTCAAGGCGGTCGATCCGATCTTTCGAGCAACGGGGGCACTTGATCCGATCCACAAGGAACTCTGGATGGTCACCTGTAGCAAGAATGCACAAGCGGGTCGCGGTGTCGTCAAACGGCAGGTTTGGCGAGACCTGTACTCTGTCGTTGCTGGCATACCAGCCAATCCCGCCACAATGCTGGTTCTTCCAAAAACATGCCGAGAGGTGTTTCGGACTTACGAGGGTGACAAGAACCTCCACAACTGGACCGTCTTCCTTCGGGAATGGATCGGGGATGCGTTCATCCGCGACTTCATCATCGACGCACTGGGATTCGAGGATCCGCGCTTGCTCTCGATGGCCCTGAAATGGCTCCAGCAGCGGTATCTCGACCACCAGCAAAGCGAGCCGGTGTACATCTGCACTAGCCAGGTGTACTCCTCCAGCTACCACTGCATTGAGTTGATCGAGGACTTTCGTAGCAACCGCATTGGGCGCCAATGTCTTGCTCTGACAAGAGTATGAACAAAAAACCACCAATAAATTGTGGTCTCACCTGAATTGAGGACATCATTGACTCATGTGCGCGCAGCGGTTGCAAAATGATCCTGGTACCGTACTGGTTTTACCACTAGAGATATGGTTGAACATCTTTGGGTTTTGCGGACTCGATACGCTCGAGCACCTTCTCCAGATACCCGTGTTTCGGTGGATGATGCGTGGGCAGCCCGTGTAACGTCCACTACTGGGACGTTGGGGCAAGACGGGGAGGGAGGGGGTACAAGACAAGACAGGACGGGGCAGAACAGGGCGGTGCTAGGCTACTCTAGCGGACGGGTGAGCTCGGGGAGCACTTACGTTTATTCACGATAAAACCGAACTCCAGACAAACGGGGGGGAACGGGGGCAACCCGCAGGTATACCCTGCGGTGGCCTGCCTGCGGTGCGTGAAAACGCAAAGCGCAGCACAGGTCACGACCCACTGCGCCGCGCAGTACGCGCAGTACGCGCAGCACAGCGTCGGAGATACCATCTCCTACACTCCCACACTTAAGAAGGCTTCCTGCGAGGAGCCCTGCGTGTGCTCTTTATTTGGGGCTCCTCGAGGTGTTTACCGTATTTACTCAGCTCCTCGGGTGCATGGGACAAGTCCTCCAGTGTTTGCCATGTGTTGCCCGAGTGTGGGTAACCAACCCACTTGACATAAAACCGAAGTGACCCATCAGCCACTTTCTTGTGCCTCACGATCCTTTCGACTTCATATTCTTGAGTATAGTATTGTCCGAGGTCGTCTTCCAGTGGTGCGTCGTCCGGGACACCTTCGTCGGCGTCGGGGAACTGTGCTGGACTGCGGGTCGTGTGGCGACGCAGCTTGGACACATGGAGGACAGGATGGAGCTTGCTTCCAGGTGGCAAGTCCAACAGGTAGTTGAGGGGACTGGGTCGGGCCGCTATCTTGAACGGTCCTCGGTACTTGGGCAACAACTTCTTTGACTGGGCTTCGGGGACCTTGATGTTGTCGGCGTCCAGGTAGACAAGGTCTCCAACTTCAAAGGAGACATCCTGGTGTCGGCGGTCGTAGTACTTCGCCATCACTTGTTGCGCATCCGTGAGCGCGTCGGCGATCATCTTGTGTCGGACTTGATGATCTTTGACAAAGGCACTTGGTTTGGGAGGCAATCCAGCCGTGGACTCGGTCAGTGTCAAGGAGGTGGGAACATGTTAGGGATAGCTCCTGCTTGTTCTCCACTTTGACTGCACACTTGGCTATTCTTTTGCCTTTCTGTTTGTTTGTGTGTAGCCTTGCAGTTCCCCTCCGATTTTCCGCCTTTTGCCTGTCTTTTCCGCTCCTTCCGCACTTCCGTTTTCCCGCGCTGCTCCGCTTCCTTTGTCTTCTTCGCACGCGCCGGTTTGTTTGTGCACGCGCCTTGCTGCGATTGGTTGCAATTCGGCTGCCGGTCATGTGTCCCCCCACCGGTGACTCATGACCTGCCTGACCGCCCCGATCTCTTGTTCATCTCGCATGCATTTGCCCCAACCTTATACTTGACCAATCCGCTTCTTGGACGTTGAGTCACATTGCTTCGCCTTTGCACGTTTCTCCTGCCAGGTGCTTCGCTTTTGCTTGCGCCTCTCTCGCTTTGGTTCTCTGCCTGTCTCGGTGGTCCTTCTCGGCCCTCGTTCGTGCATCGCCCCCTTCGCCCTGCTCGATCGCCCACTTTTCCCTCCCTTGGCCGCCCTTCGCTGCCAAGTCCGGACTTGTCTATAAATAGCCTGACCCCCGCGATGTGTAGTCGAACCTTAGCGTTCAAAATAGGACTAAATAAAGTGCCTTCTACTTTATTCTCTGAGTGTTCCTCACGTCTCATTTCGAGACAAGTCTTATCTTGAACGGATCTTTGCTTCCCTCGCTCCCTCTCCGAGTCCACTTCGGACTCTACCCTTGCTTTCCCTGAGCTCACTTCGAGCTCACTTCTTCTTTTGCCGTTGAGTCCCCTTTGGACTCTAACATCATTTTGAACGCTCCCTCTTGGCTTCCCGGCCTTTCTTCTTCTTTCGCCTCTCTTTCCCTCGTCGATCCGATGGCTGAGCCTGCTGCACCCCCGGCAGATCTCAATGCGTACCTGGCGCGCATGGAGGAGCGTATGAACGCCCTCATGACCCAGAACGCTGCTCTCCATCGTCAGATCCAAGATCTGCAAGCTCCCGCCGCCGCTCCCCGCCAGGTCTACCAGGTGAACAAGCCCAAGGAGTTCCTAGGTTCCCGCGACGAGACGACGGCCTTCCTCGCCCAGTGCCACCTCGTCTTCCTCGCCGATCCTGCCTTCTTTGCGCCCGAGCGCCAGAAGGTCCTTTATGCCACCTCCTTCCTCCGCGGCGAAGCTTTCAAATGGTACGAGGCCGCCTTTTATATGGCCAACCGCTTCCCGGCTTCCTTCGCGGATTTTGAAGTTGCCCTCAAGTCGACCTTCGGTGAGGACACGGCCTCCTCGCAAGATAAGGCCTTGAACGACCTCAAACGCTTGGTCCAGCTCAAGTCCTGCCAAGCCTTCGCCACCCGCTTCGTCCAGCTCGCCGCCCGCGTCCAGACTGACGAACCCACCAAGATGCACTTCTTCAAGGAGGGTTTGAAGTCTGAGGTCAAGTTCCACCTCATCGGTCTCCGCCCCGCTCCCGCTTCCTTGCCCGAGTTGATCAAGGCAGCGGTCGAGTACGACGATGCCCTCCATCGTCTCAAGGTCTCCTCCCGTTCCCAACCTCCTCCTCCTTCTTCTCGCTCTGCTCCCCATCACCACCATTCTCCCGCGCATGTTTCTTCTTCCTCCTCTTCTGCACCCACTCCCATGGACCTTGACTCTGTCTCGGTCCGCCCTGCTAAGCTCTCCGACGTCGAGAAAAAGCGACGTCGTGAGCAGGGTCTCTGCTTGTACTGCGGGGAAAAGTCTTGTCCCGGCAGTCGCGATGTTCAGCAGTGCCCGGTTCTGGTCAAACGGAACTCGGGAAATGCTCACAGCCGAGCAGCACCTCGCAAGTAAGCGAGGTGGTCTGTTCGGCGATACGAACATCTTCCCCCTCTGACTCGTCACTATCGGACGATAAGCTTCTTCTTCCGGCCACTCTTATCGTCATGAGTCTTTCTGGCCCGGTCTCCATCTCCCTTTCTGTTTTTATTGATGATGGATGTTCCGCTCTTGCCCTCATTGATCCTGCCTTTGCCGATCTCCATAAACTCTCTCTTATCCCTCTTTCTACTCCTTACTCCGTTTCCCTTGCTGATGGTTCTTCGGCCGGTTTCATTCGTTTCCAAACCGCGCCTTTGACTCTGACCATTGGTTCCCACACCGAGTCGATTTCTTTTCTTGTGACTCGACTCTCCACCACTCCCATCACTCTTGGTCTTCCCTGGATGCGCTTGCATAATCCAGTTGTTAATTGGAAGTCCCTCTCCCTTTCATTCTCCGATCCCTCTTGCCTTGCTGATGGACACATCCTCGCGGATGT